CCAGGATCAAGTGGTTGTCGGTGCCGCCGCTCACAATCGTGTAACCCAGCTCTGTCAGCCTGTGGGTCCCCGAAGTGCAGGAGGCTTCACGCACACCTCCAATCCCCGACATCGCATAGGCTGGCTGGTGCCTCTGCTTATCAGGAACACCACCTTAATTGCTGGCATGCGACCTCAAACCCACCTAGCCGACAGCGCGCGCGCGTTGGCCACCACCTGGCGCTGGTACTCCTTGAACTCCTGCGTGTTGGCCATCTTGAGCGCGACCGCCAGCCCGCTGATGGTGTGGTTGTGGGGGCCGCCCTGGAGACCCGGGAAAACGGCCTGGTTGATGTCGGCCTCAAACTCCTTGCGGAAGAAAATGAGGCCTGCAATCACCAGAGAATGGGTCTGGCGGATGCAGTCGGTTTGTTCATGTACAATATGTACAAGTCAGAGAATGGTGACAGTATGCATGGGCATGCCCAGCCCAGTGCGCCTGGTGACCAGGTTTCAGGAACTGGCGTGTGCGAGGCATGGGCGGAGCCCAAACTCCCAATTGGCCAGTGAGTGCATGCCCTCCCCCAGCACCATGGCACACCTCCGCGGGGGCCGCGCAGGCTCTTGTGCGTGGTGGTGGTGACAATGTGAGAGTGGGGGAATGGCGACTGCACCACGCCCGCTGCCACCAGGCCACTGATGTGCGCCATGTCGGCCATGAGGTAGGCGTCCACACTGTCGGCGATGCCACGCATGCGGGCATAGTCAAAGTCGCGTGAGTAAGCTGAAGCGCCTGCAATGATGAGGCGAGGGCGGAACAGGGTGGCCGTCTTCGCCAGCGTATCATAGTCCACCAGTCCCGTGGACTCGTCCAGGCGGTATGGCATGGACTCGAAGTAAACTGAGGTGGCAGAGACGCGGCGCTTTGCTGTCATGAAGCCGTGTGTCAGGTGGCCGCCTGTGTTTCGCAGGGGGGGGCACAAGGGGGCAGCGGCGTGAGAAGGGCAGCAAGGCAGGATGAATGATGGCACAGCATCACCCTCCCATCCATACCGCTTCGGGGCGCTGCCCCAACAGCTTACCATGGGGTAGGTCAAGGCCCATGATGCGGTCGTGCGGGTTGAGCAGCGCGGTGTACACCTCAAAATTGGCGGGAGACCCCGACAGTGGCTGCACATTGACGCCCCACTCGGCATGGTCCAGCCCAAACGCCTCCAGTGCACGCTTCTGCGGGACGGGGCAGGCACAGCAAGAGTGAGGGGCATGTGGCAGAGTTATCGGCGCAGTGCCAACCTGTCATGAAGAGCCGGCCCAGCACGGCAGCCACACACACACACACACGGTAGTACCTGGCACAGGCGCTCTGCTTGGTCAATGAACTCGTTGCCGCCATAGTAGCGGGCGCCTGGCAGGCCTTCGCTGTACTTGTTGGTCATGCACGAACCGACGGCAGTCATAACGGCACGAGAAGTGAAGTTCTCGCTGGCAATCAGCTCCAGGCCCGTCACCTGTGCCATGGGGCACGAGGTCGGGCAGGCAGGTAGGCAGGGAATGCATGGCTTAGGGCACGCTGCATCATGCATAAACCATCACAGGCATGGCCGGGCACGCGCAACTCCAGGGTTGGGCAGCAACAGGTGGAGCTGCTGGCACACGCCTGCACACCTGCCGCTGCTTCTCGCTCCTGATGATAGAGGCAATCTCAGGGTCCACCTCATCCAATGGACCGTCATACTGGAACAGCTTGGGGGCTGCAGGCAGGCAGCAGGGCGGCGCAGCAACCGCAGCATTGCAACGGCGGCGTGGTGGCGGCGTGGCGGCTGGCGGCACGCACATGCATGCGGCGGAAGCCGCAGCACCCCAACCTGCAGGGGGTGAGGCCAGGGTCGCCCGGCACTGCAGGCCAGCTCGCGGCTGCCTGGAGGGGCGCTGGGTGGTGATGGCGGAGCGAAGGCCATATTGCGCCATGAAGCTGGAGGCGTTCAGCTGCATGCAGCCCATCGTTCTCCTATGCCCGCGTCCTGTCTGGTGCAACAAAGCGGTTGGCAGGGGGAGTCTGTTTTGAAAGCCGTGGGGCTTCAGCAGCGGACGTGCTGAATTCTTCTGGCTCCGCCGGGGGGCTGGATCGTGAGCAATCACGATGCGAAATGAAAGGCTGGGGCTTACACGTGACCAACGTCCCACGTGTTGCACTCTGCTGAGCGCAGCTAGGCTGCTGCAGCATTCTCGAGGTACCAAAAATGCCACGGCGTGGAGCTCACATATGTCCCGTCCGCCCCCCAGAGGCGCCCCCCAGATCCTCCTGCTATTTCTCCGACACTCGACCGGGACCGCCATGTACATTGTCCATCTCAAATCACACTGTGACTCTACAATGATGCTGGGGCAAGGAAAGCTGGCACATGGTGTGGGTCAACGCCAGTCCCCCGGCCCCACCCCCTCCGCTTGGACGGCCGGTGCAGTCCCGCCACAACCCGACATGGCTGCCTGCCGTTTTAGTTTCAGGCGTCATAGTCCTCCTCCTCCGCCTCCGCCCCCGGAACCGCAGCTGCAGCGAGGAAGCTGGGCACACTGACGAGCGGCATCCCACCTCCTGCCCCAGGTTCAACGCCGCCTGTGCCGCCCTCTTCCTGCTGCGGCACGGCTGGTGCAATTGTTGGCCCTCCCTGCCCGGCGGATGCCTCCTGCTGCGCCTCAGGCTGATGCTGTTGCTGCTGCTGCTGGGCAGTGTCTGCATCCGCCAAGTCCCCTGCGGCGTGGTCTTCATCTCTCACACAACCAGCAGAGTCGTTGCCGGCTGGGGCTGCTCGTTCGCATACCGCTGCTGCATCTTCGTCGCTGGTGCCCTTGCGCCCTTTGCCCCCCCTTCCCCCTCTGCCGCCCCTGCTGCGAACCTTGGAAGGTCCAGCCTCGCCTTCGTTGCCGCTGTTCTTCGCCCTGCAAGCGGGGCCAAGCAATGGAGGGCATCCACCACCAGGCATGTGCCAACAACAGGTGGTGGCGCAACCTGACAGCAGTCAGGTTGCGTGACGAGACTGGCAAGGTAAACGAGCAGCATCAGCGTTGCACCTGCATCCCGGCTGCTCACCTTTGGCGCTTCTGCTTGGCGCCCTTGACTGGTTCCGCGCCGGCCGGCGGCAGCTCCGCCACTGCTGCCACCGCATCCTTCAGAAAGTCGAGCAATTCCTCCCCTTGAATGTGTGCCTTGCTGCAGGCAGTGAACACGGGAATAGAAACGTGCAAGGATTTCAGCCCGTGGCACCGGCTTGGCAACACATGCACAGGATTGGTCGCCGGCTGGTGACGCGCCGCTCGGGCGCACATGTGCGAGGCCGTCAACATGCGGGCGCCCCGGCTCTCTGCAATTCGTGCCGCCCCATCCACCATGCTCTGCAGGAAAATGTCCAGAGCCTTGGCTGCGGACGAAGTGGTGGGGGTTGTTGGTGCGTCACGCTTGGTCGCACAAAGGAGGGGTCCTGGGGCTGCTCAAAAGTGGGGCGGCACCTCCCTCGTCCCCGCTGCTGCCCCGCTGCTGAACGCACCTATGAGCACCGGCGAGGCTTTGGACACCTTGCCCACGTCCTCATCCGACTGCATCATCTTCTTGATGCGCGCCTGCAGGTTGGTGCTGGCCTTCATGCCCTTGCTCGCCATGTTTGTTCTGCTGCCACGCCGCCGCTGGCGTCAGCCTCCACCCTGCGGCCACACTTGTCTGTGAGCTGGCTCAACCCTTGCCTGGAACAGGAGCCGCTTGAAGGTTTGGAAAAACAGGGAGCACCCGCTGTCGCCCACAGCAGAGAACTGACCCTGAAGTACTTCGAAGTACACCTTCCACCGTTGGCGGAATCCCCAGAAAACCTTCGTGCTGGTCCAACGTCCCACCAGCTCGGTCTCCAAGCTCATGGCAGATTTGGCTTGTTTTTGTTTTGCAAAACGCGTCAGCAGCATACTTACGCTTGGGGGCAGCGACAGCCTAGGCCGGCAGCTCCACAAAAGGCGCCACCCGCCGCGCCGCTGTGGGTGCACAGTGAGGCACGTCGAAGATGAGGCACGTGTTCACGTCCGTGCATTTCTGGAGGAACTGGTTCCCAGCGCGGGAGTTCAAGATTGTCATGATGGTCAGGCAGCTCATTCTGCCCTGGTGTCATTGCAGAGTCCTGACTCGGCCACTTACAGGCGCCGACAGCACTTGAAGGTGAGGGCGCTGCTGGAGGTGTTGCCATGGATTGCCCGAGAAGCTCCGATGCAAGCAGCAAAGCCCACAGACGTGAACCACTTCCACCAGTGGCACATCTTCCGTAACGCTGTGAATTTACACCCGACCGACTGATTAGACTTGAGCTCTCTACACATGTTACTCTTGCATAATGCTTGTGCAATCCTCATTACAGAGGTTTGTGTTGCAAGCAAGAAGAACTGGCGTGCCACGGTGGCTGGTCGTCCCCATATACTGCCCATGCAACCCCACAGGGACTGTGGAAGGCAGCAGGGTTCCCCGTCTCTTTTACGCCTCATTCGGCTGTCAGCGCCACACAAACTCAAGGTCACTCTCACTCAGCCTGCCATTCTTCACCATCACCGCCAGAGCACCCATCGTAAGCGCCGCAAGGCCCACCACGAGCAACAGGGTCCAGCCAAATACGTACATCATGCTGACCCACAGGGGCGTCTTTACCTCCTCCTCCTCCCGCGCGAGCATAGCCTGCTTCGCCAGCTGCTCCCGGGCTGTGGCCATAGCAATGCGCTGCGCGGTGCCGGCTGCATGCATGGTGTTTAAGCGTGACAGGGCTGGCTTGGGGGAGCTGGCAGCGGAGCGGCAGGGGTCTGCCAGCAAGCTGCGCTTCACCACCACCGACTTGCGTTGGTGCAACTGCTGCGCTGCCGGAGCTGGCCGTGGAGGCTCCTGCCGGTGAGTTGACGGCTCTGCAGTGGCTGTGTCACGCCCTGCATCAGGCATGACTTCTCTTGGCGTGGGTTCAGCCGCCACCGCTGCTGCAGGGTCAGCCAGCTGGTGCGCTGTAGCCGCTTGCGCCTCGCCTACAGCCGTGGCCTCCTGCTGCGGCAACTCCATTGCACCACGTGTGCGAAGCGCTGCCAATAAGTCAGCCACAGCACGGCCCTGCTCCACCAAGGCCGCCTCCACCGCCGCCACCCGGTCCAGCATCTGGTGCGAGGCATCTGCAGCTGGGCGGCGGGCAAAACGGCAAACAATGTAGCAGCGTAGACACATCGGTCGCCATTCCCTGGCAGGGGTGCATGCATGCACCGACACACACCTTGTGAAGGCACTGCCACCACCGCCCGTTGCTGTGCCTCCTCCACCACGTCCAGCCGTTGCTCCAAGCGCACAACCCCGGTGGCCAGCCGCACCTCCAGCAGCTCCAACACATTCTGCAGGCGAAGACAATTTAAGCCTGCCATTCAATCACCCCTGCATGCATGCCTGGGCCCACTGGCAGGCAAGCTGCCCCCCCATTTTCCTCCTGTTGTGCTTTACACACCATGCCTGTGGCAGCAGCCTTGCCTGGTCCAGAAGCGACGCCACGGCGTCCACCTTGCGCTCCAACCGCCGCACCACCTCGCCCAGGCCCTGACAGAAAGTGAATGCACTGATGGTGAGAAGGAGACTAGCATGGAGGTTGGTCAGGAAACAAGAGGCCAGCCCTGTGCATCTGTTGCCCTCACCTGCTCAATGTGCGCAATGTACTGCTGCACCCCCGTCACCACACCAGCTGCACCAGCCTCCCTGCCCTGCTCAAACTCTAGCCGCCGGGTAATGACCTCCTCCGATGGTGCCGCAGCAGCGTGCCGCTTAACCACTTTGATGGCAGTCTGCAGCAAAGAGCCTGGGGGAGTGGTGTGTTCACATGCGCATGTTTGCATGTTCCCATTTCATGTTGCTGGCCTTAGCTCCACCACCCCAATCTGTCACCTGCAGGATCTGCATCTGAAGCTTCTTGTCCAGCTCCTTGTCAGAAAGGAACCGCTTCTGCACTATTTTGGCTGCGGCAGGACAGGTTGAATGCAGCGCAGGCAGAAGTTAGAATGGCAGGCAGATGGAACGAATGGGGCAGGTCTGCTATGCCCAGACCACTCGCCGATACTCAGCCTGTCACGCCCAAACACGCAATTCTACCTGCACACCTGCAGTGGCCAGCACCTTCTCCTGCAAGCTAATGTCCAGATGTTGAACCGCCTTGCTCTCCATGTCCTTCAGGGCCTGCTCAAGGCTCTCCAGTCGGCCCCACAGGTCATCCACCTTGTGCGACTCAAGGTAGGGGGCGCTGGCGGGGGTGTCGGTCCATCCCGTGGAGGGGCTAGCGCCACAACCTGCACTGGCGCTGCTGTGGACTGCCGCCTCCATCCTGCCCGAGCGCTGCGCCTCAATAGTCCAAGAGCCCTGACGCTGCAGCCCTGGGCTGAAGAGTTGGTTTTGAAAAGCAGCAGCTGGCGTGGCCTTGCTGCCTGGGGACTGTGGCACCAGGACCTGTTTGCTGCCCACCTCGCACGAAAACGGCACCGTTTCACGCGGGGTGGCAGCCAACGGAGGTGGTTGAGAGGAGAGAGTGTCTGTCATTTTCTGTCAGGAAGGAAGACATGTGCAGGTGGAGGGCATTTGCGTGCAAGCGGAGAGACGCAGCTGTGAGGCAAGGCCCAACTCTCGGCGCACGGCACTACTCCCACTGTACCGCCCGACGGCGAGCAAAATTGCGTTGCACAGGGTTATTCTGCTGCGAACCACATCTCCAATCGACTTTTTCGGAGCGGGGAGGCTATTGTCCATCCCTAGCATGATCCGGCCCGCTTGAAGCCGCGAATGGGCAACCAGCTCACCCAGCCCTCCCGTCTGGCTGCGGCAGAGGCCGTGGCGGAGCTAGGGGGCAGCGTCACCTACAAGGACAGCCTGGGTGCGCTGCCGCCAGCGCCCCGCTGGCGGCACTGCCCGCCCGCCCATTGGCCTCCACCATCTTGGACAGACGAGCCATGCTCCTTGCCCTCCCTTGCCCATCTATGCTCGCGTTGCCCTCGCAGGCGGCGGCCGCTTCTTCAAGAGCTCGCTATGTGTTCATGACGATGGCGGCCTGGTGGTGGTTAAGGTGCGTTGCAATCCATCATCCGCTGCTGTTGAGAGGGTGTCAGCACCAGCAGTGCTGGTTGCTCCCGAAGCTTGAAAACCCTCCGCTGAATTGCCACCACTGCTGATGCCCATGGTGCCAGAACCTGTGTTACCGAGCTGTTGTGCCTGCGTCCACCTAGACATTGTGCACTGCCCAACTGACTTGCCTTCCACACCCTCCACCTCCAAAGGTGTATGCCAAGCGCAGTGACACTCCCGAGCTGCGCCCCTATCGTGAGCGGCTTCTGGGCATGCGCGGCGCACTGGCGGGGCTGGACGACTCGCACGCCTGGCCGGTGCAGCGCGTGTACGAGAGCGAGCGTGCCGCTTTCCTGGTGCGGCAGTACCTCCACGCCAACCTGGCGCAGCGCATAACCACACGCCCCTTTCTCACCCTCATTGAGAAGGTGCGACGACACCAGCATCGAAAAGGATGAGGCAGAAGTCTTGGGCACATGTGGCCGAGTGTGTGGCTAAGGAAGAGCTTTCAAGTCCACTGCCGGCGGCTGCGGCGCTCTGTTAACGACCCAGCCCCCCTTACTTCTGTTCCCTCACCTCTGCAGCGCTGGATTGCATACCAGCTGCTGCTGGCGTTGGCACAGTGCCATGAGCGCAGCGTGTGCCATGGCGACATTAAGGCCGAGAACGTGGCGCTGACCTCTTGGGACTGGGCCTTCCTGGTGGACTTTGCACCCTACAAGCCCACTCTGCTTCCTGCCGACAACCCCGCCGACTTCTCCTTCTTCTTCGACACCTCGGGCCGCCGCAAGTGCTGCCTGGCCCCCGAACGCTTTTATGACCCCGCTGCCGGCATCACGCCACAGCAGGCCGCTGAGGCGTCACTTACCCCTGCCATGGTGCGCCGCAGGGGGGCAACGTGTCCATTGCTTTCATTCATGATCAGCAACTCGCCCTCATCCACTCTCTGCTCTACTGCATACCGCCCAACTGCTGCTGTATTCCACCGCCCCTGCACATCCCCCATCTGCAGGACGTCTTCTCCCTGGGCTGCGTGCTGGCTGAGCTGTTCCTGGATGGCCAGCCGTTGTTTGATTATTCCCGCCTGCTGGCCTATCGGCTTGGCGGCGCCGCTGCTGCCGGGACGCTGGCGGCGCTGGACAAGGTCCACCCCAGCGTGCGCGGCATGGTGGCCCATATGGTGCAGCGAGACCCTGCCAAGCGCCACTCTGTGCAGCAGTACCTGCAGGTATGTTCTTGCAATTATCTGTGTGGGTGGGGTGGGTGGGGGCAGCGACGGCTCGCTTTCTACTGACATACCATGCCAGCACGCAGTGGGCCCCCACACCACCCACACCCACCCACACCACCACTGCGCGTTTGTGCCGCCACATCGAAAAGATTCTGCCTGACCTCTCCACCTTGCATTCGTTTATGTGGGCGTTACGTGCAGGAGGCTCGCACAGCGGCGCTGCCGCCCTGGCTGGCTTCCACTATCCACCCCTTCTTTGCCTCCATGCTGCATCTAGACACCGATGCTCGGGTGGTGCTGGCCACCCAGGAGTATGCGCATGTCAAGGACCAGCTGCTGGGTGGCAGTGGTGGCAGAGAGGAAGCAGCAGGAGGCAACAGAATGCCTGTTACGCCCCTGGAGTTGGAGGAGCAGGCGCAGAGTCTTGCAGAAGAGGGTGGCGGCGGCGATAGGCCATCGCTGGAGCAAGCAGTTGGGGGACTGATGTCAGAAGCGCAGACATCGCTCAAGCGGCTAGAGGGTCGCCGCAGTGGCACCAGGGGCGGCACACCGCGCATGGCGCCTCGCGGCACCTCTGGCAGCTGCCAAAGTGAGCTGCAACAGCCGGCAGAGCAGCAGCAACCACTACGAGGATTGGCAGTGGGCCGGCAGCAAGCATCATCGGACGGCACCGGCGGTAGCTCGCCAGAAAGATCCCAACAGCAGGCGCAGGAGCAACAGGAGGAGGCAGAGCAGGCACGTCCAGTGCAGCACGAGGGGATGGTGCTTGTTGCGGTGCTGCTTTGCACGCTGCTGCGCGGCTGCCGGCTGCAGGAGTACAAGGCCCGCGTTTTGCGGCTGCTGCGGGACGCGGCAGCGCACTGCGACGATGAGACACGGTTGCAGCGCGTGTTGCCTTACCTGGTGGCAGCCACTGCAGAGCCATTAGCAGCGGTCAAGGTGGTGGCGCTGCGCGCCGTGGTGCGCGTGCTGGCACAGGTGTGGCGGCTGTGCTGGCTGGGCTGCCAAACCCGAATTGCTCACACTGCTGCAGCTGCATCTAACCCAGCAACACTGCACCCAGCATTGTTTAGCCATGCACACTTGTGTGCCTTTTTTGCTGCTACCCATGCCGCAGGTGCGTGGCGTGCCCCCTAGCGAGGCCAAGGTGTTCAACGAGTACGTGCTGCCCTCCCTGTCCCTGCTTCCCTCGGAGGCCGAGCTCATGGTGCAGGCAAGCAAGCGGCAGGGTGGAGCAATGTGATCTGGGAACAGGACAGGTCCTGCCAGCCAGCCTGCGGTAATATTCAGCAAACAAACCTCACCTGATTGCAGCTTCCCTGCGCATCTCACCCCCCGGCTGAGTTTGCAGGTTGAGTATGCCTCCTGCATTGCCGAGCTGGCTGCCACTGCACAGGCCTTTCTGGAGCAATTGCAGTGCCGCCGGCTGCAGCACGCTGCCAGCTCACCAACAGGCTCCACCAGCAGTTCCCCCGTGCTCAACTATGATGAGGAGGTGGGCCATCCACATGAACATACATACACCAGTGCAGCATCTGTAATGGTAGCCAGTGATCAACACGAGGGCAGAATACCATAACCTGTTCTGCCCTCCTGGCCGTCTGCCCGTGCCTCCCCCCCCACCCCCCCCCGGCCCACACACAGATGGCCCACCTGCGTGCTGGTGTGGAACGCGTTGTTCACGACCTTTTGGTGGGGCCGCATCCCGAGACCAAGCTGGCGCTGCTGCCACACTTGACTCAGCTGGCGGCATTTGCTGGGCGGCGTGATACTGCTGACGTATTGTTGCCCTCACTGCTCACCTTCTTCAACAGCCAGAGCTGGCAGGTACTTGGTGTCACACAAACAGGGGCTGGCTGTATGTGCTGTCTGCTGACTTGCCATTATGCATGCACCAGTTCACCAATGCTTTCCTGAATTTCCCTTTATGCACGCACCCCCCACACATGGAACTCAGGTACGCGCCGCCTTCTACGCTGCCTTTGTGGGTGTTTGCCCCAGCCTGGGACCAGAGGGTGTGGCGGCCATCGTGCTGCCCTTCCTGGACCGGCTGGTCGGCGATCCCGAGCCGGCTGTTGCGGCAGAGGCGCTCGGCTTTCTGGCCTCAGTGGCACGACGGGGCCTGTTGCGCAAGCGGCACCTATTGTTAGTGGCAATGCGGCTGTGCAGCCGGCAGATGCTGGGGCCAGGAGTGGCGACACCACTGCGTGCCGCGGCGATTGACTTTCTAGCAGCTGCGGCGGGGCAGTTATCCGAGGTGGATGTGTATGCGCAGCTGCTGCCCCTGGTGCTGCCGCACCTGGCTGCTGAACCACTCAGTTTAAAGGTAAGAGCAGGGCCTGGGTACATGAGTGCAAAGCGGTGGCCTTAGTGGGGCTGAAAGGTGCGCACACCCCTGTCCAGAGTTGGGCACAGAATGGCCGAATTGCTGCACCCTGTTGCCCACTGCTTGCTGCTACAGCATCCTCAGGAGATTGCGCAGGCACTGAGGGCTGAGGGCCAGGCCACCGAGGCCAGCCAGAACAGCAGCCAGAGGGCGCTCAGGAGACGCCGCCCACCTGTGTTGCCAATGCGTCCAGGCTACCCTCCGGTGCCACCGATACCTCGTTATGGCCCTGTCTCCGGCTCGGTGGGGGACAGCAATGGCCGGCACTCTCTTGATTCGCTGGCAGCTCCTGGCGCTGGCAGCCGGCTTGCAGCGGGCAGCAGTAGCAGCAGCGTCATGTTTTGCGACGGTGCATCTGGGCCAGCGGCAACAGGGCTGGGCAGCCGCAGCATGCTGCTGCCGCCGCCCACTGCTTCCACTTACAGCCTCCTGGTCGACCCCCGCTACCTGCTACACGCCTCCTCCTACCTCTCTGCTGCATTGGAACAGTCCATGGTGGCCCAAGCAGGTGCAGGCGGCCATCTCATTGCCAGCACCAGCTCGGCGGGCCATCAGCGCACCAGCGGCAGCGGCTCCAGTGCCCACACTCGGCTCGACACATCGGCTCATCTGGGTCCTGCCGACAGTGGTCAGCAGCTTGTGGCACGGGCGAGACGCAGCCTGCCGCAATCTGCCAGCATTGCCCACAATATGCGTATGCCGGCAGGGTTGCCGGTGCAGCAGCAGAAAGAGCCAGGTTAGCCAAAACACTGTCCTCTTTTTGTGCCTCGTCTGCTGTTACCTCTCTGCCTCTATGCTCGTTACCTTTTCTTACGCCATGTTAACCTCCTGTCTTGCAGCCGGGTTGGCGGGCCCCACGCAACCGGCTGCCTTTGACGGCGGCAGCGTGCGGGATGCCATGAGCGCAGCCCTGGCGGCTGGCATGCCGGGGGGCAGTGGAACAGATGGGGGCATGGGCAGCCAGCATGTGGCGCCCTGGTACCCACGTGGCGTGCTGGTGGCGCATCTGGCTGAGCACAGAAAGTGCGCAGGTTGGGGGACGGTTTGTGCATAAGTGCAGCCTTCAACTCACAATCACGATGTTGCAAGCACTGCCCTCCTGAGCAATGTCATCTGCTCTGGCCTCCGCAGGTGTGTCAACCGACTGGCCGTGGCTGGTTGCGGTGCCTTTTTTGTCAGCGCTTCATCCGACGAGACTGTCAAGGTGTGGGACTGTCGGCGTCTGGAGAAGGACGTCTCCTTTCGCTCCCGCCTCACCTACACTGCCCAGACGGGGCGCATCACCTCGGTGACCGCCTGCCAGGACAGCCAGAGTGTGGCGTCAGGCAGCGCGGATGGCAGCATCCATGTGTGGCGAGTCGAGTATGCAGCACGGGCCGGCGGTGCACCAGAGCGCTACACAGGCATTATCAGCTGCCGCCAGGTGTGCCGGGGGCTCAGCATCGGCACCTGGTCAGTGCAATTTGTTATTCCCAAGCTGTCACCACCCTGCGTATCATCGCTGCTGCGCTGCTGCCGCAGGCGACCCCCGACGGCAGCGCAGTGCTGGACCTGGCGGCGTGGGCCCCCTCAATGCTGATCTACTCCACGCAGCAGGGGGGCCTGGCAGCATGGGACCTGCGGGCAGGGCGTGATGCGTGGTCGCTGCCGGCCTCGCCAGTGGCGGGAGTGGTGGAACGGTTTGTGCTGGACCCCGCCGCTCACAACTGGCTGCTGGGGGGCAGCTCTCGCGGCCAGTTGTCGCTGTGGGACCTACGCTTCCGCCTCCCCGTCAACAGTTGGCAACACCCGGCTGGTGCACCCATCACAGCGCTGGCGCAGGCCTCGGCGCCGCTGCACCGCCTGGGCCTGTCTGCGGCAGCGGGGCCACTGGTGTATGTGGCGGCGGGCGAGCAGGAAGTTGGGCTGTGGGACATTGCGGACGCCAAGTGCCGGCAGGTACATTTGTGCTCCAATTTGGTGTGGGTGGGGCACACGCGGGGCCAGCAGAGAGGTGGAGTACTGTATAGTGGGATTCAGCTGGTAAGCAGCCTCTGCCCTGTCCTACTCTCTGGTTTTCCCGCCTTTCATTTTGTGCAGGTGCTGCGCGTACTGCGTCCTGGAAATAGCGAAACGGTGCGACGGCAGGCGCCCGCCGCGCTGGCACCTCAAGCTGCTGGCCTACTGCCGTCGCGAGGGCTGGACATGATGAGCCGCGCGCGGCAGCTGGCCATCTCAGAGCTCCAAACGCCGCAGAGGCGGCGTGAGGGCTACCGGGCTCTGCTGCCCACCGCTGGCGGCCAGCTTTTGACGGCCGGCAGCGACCGTGCAGTGCGGTGCTGGGACTCGGGCCGGCCGCAGCAAAGCTACGTGGTGTGTGCCCCACCACCGCCCATCCCCACCGCGCAAGTGGTAGGCACGGCGGCGGCACCAGATACAGCGGCTGATGCATCTGCAGGCGGAGCCCCGTTGCTGGCAGGGGGCGAGGGATCGCAGGTCAGCCTGGTGGATGTGCCACAGTACACCTATGCCAGCTGCAGCGTGCACGGCGTGCCGGTGGTGGAGGAGAGCTGCACTCTGCAGCGCAGTTCCAGCGGCGCAGCCGCCAGCGGTGGTGATCGCGAGCAGCATTTGGCACGGGTGGGGTGGGCAGAGCGAGCTGCCGCGCTGTGCCACCAGCTGGCAGTCACCGACCTGCTGCGGGTGGAGGCAAGCGAGCCGCTCCTGCTGTCGGCGGCGGCAGACGGCGTAATCAAGGCCTGGCGGTGACCGGTGGATGGGTCATGGGTCACAGCTCACATCATGTATCGTTGTATCATAGCTGGTCTTGTCACATGTGACTCTCGGACCGAGTGTGATCCGGGGAGGGTGGGGGGCAGGGCGGGGCGGCGCCAGGAGTGCGCAGGACGGGGCGGCGCCCAGGGCGCTTGTACCGCCCGGCTTCGCGCAAAGGGGCTGAATACGGTGATTTGAATTGGCAGATATAGCAGTAGAACTCTCCGGCAGGCAGCGAACGTTGTCCCTGCAGAACGTGTCGCGGGCTCTGGCTTGCCTCTGCCTGGCTCCTCACGAATTGCAGCAGTAGCAATGGCAGCAGCAGCAAGAGTGGCGCCATCCCACCAGCGGCCCCATCGGCTTTGTTCAGCCCGGAGCCAGCGTTTGCAAGCCTCGTATCCTGCCCGTGGCCTGGAGCGGCGATTCTTGCAATGCAGAAGCGGCGCAGGGCGGTTAGAGTGTAGCGATTCGGCGGCGAGCGCCGACGGCGAAGTGAGACCCGCCAGCGTCGACTCCTCTCTTGGTTCATCTGGGTCTGAGTTCCTTCTCACCAAGGACGAGTCTGTAAACATCAACAGGCAGCTGATGGAGATCCTGGCGCCCAAGACAGACTATCTGGCGGTGAGTGGCTGGGCCTGCTACTGCCGCTGCAGCCGTGTGACGTCTTTTCAGGCCAGCTGCCGGTGATGCGGTAGCCTCCTGCCGCATGCATGGGCTGGTCGCATTGCCTGCAGGAGTTTCTAGCCATTCAGAACCAGCAGCCACGCAATCTTGGGTTCTTCGGCACCCGCAACATGGGCTTCATGCACCAACAGCTCATCGAGGTGCTGTCCTACGCCATGCTGCTGACGGTGAGCACGGGGCGCGGCGGCGAACAATGGTGGTGGCGAGCAGGAACTCAGCAGCAGGTCCCTCATGGGTATGCTGCTGAACTGCAGGCAACAGCGCGCTGCGCTGCATGTATGTCTCTGGGTTGGCTGAGGGATCTGCTTGCCTCTCTCCGCCTGCTTTCCACTGCAGGGCAACCACATCTTCACGTCGGGTGCCACCGGGACCAATGCCGCTGTCATCCGCGGCGCACTGCGGGCCGAAAAGCCTGAGCTGCTGACGGTGGTGCTGCCACAGAGCATGAGCAAGCAGCCAGCAGAGAGCCAGGAGCTGCTGCAGCAGGTGGGGAGTGGCTACAGCAGGGGCGGCTGCAACGGGGGCGGGTGGGGTGTTGGGCTGCCATTTCACCACGGCTGCTGCACCTGGCATCCTTTTGCAGCAGCCTGACCTTGACCGCCGGGACCGCCCTTCTCCACTTCGGCCCCCCGCCGCCTCCGCAGGTGGAGAATATCATTGAGATGCCACAGAACGATGGGCTGGCATTGCTGGAGGCCAGTCGCATCTGCAACCAGGATATCGTGGGACGCGTGCAACAAGTCATTTGCTTCGCCTTCCACGACTCCAACTTGCTGCTAGAAACTTGCCAGCTAGCGCGCGCTGAGAGCAAGCCCGTGTGCCTCTTTTATCTGGACTGATCGCTGAGGTTGGGCAGTGACAGGTACATCGTTCGTTTTCTCGCTGAGCGCTGGTTCATGTGCCGGCATCAAACTGAAATTGTCGTTCAATCCACCCCCTGTCTCTTTCACTGTACCCCTCGCCTTCATTGCTTTCAATGCTTCTACATTCAAATGGAAAAGGCAAGAATGGGCATCAGGTCCTGCAAGGCACGGCCGCTGCCTTCTGGCGCCTACTCCTATGTGCCGCTGCAGAGCGCACGCATGGCGCATCTACTGTGCATGTCCCATCGGTAGCTCATCTTTCTTTTCCCGTCAGTCACGTGCAGCGCCCACAGTCTCTCTTTATCGCCCGCTAGTTTACTGTAAGCTGTAGCAACGTGCGATTTTAGCCTACCGTACAAGCACCTCCAGCGCTTGCTGCAAGAGTTCCAGGATAGGATCTGATGAAAAAGACGCTCGTGCTCATGCCTCGCTCGAGACGGCTCCCCCTGCCTCCACATGTTGTGCTGCTGCTACTGACTTCTGTCGCAACTGTGGCATTTGGCCTTATCCAGGCTTCACATGTCGGTGAGTGAATACAGCAGCTCAAGTATTTCAACGGTGGTGGCGGTGGCGGCGACGGCGGCGATGCTTGCTGCTGCCTTCCGGCTGCAGTTAGGGTACAATGAAACGATGCGAATATTCAGGGCCAGAGCATTGGAGCCATGGGCAAGAGGGGTGGTTCGGTCCTAGCTGGGAGAGTGTAGGACAGCATGCCGGCAGGGCCATGCCGACGCCAGCCCCCGGGGCCCCATCCCAGCGTTCCCATCCTACCTACCTTTCCCAGCTGCCGCCGCCGCCAGCCCCCGGGGCCCCATCCCAGCTTTCCCATCCTACCTACCTTTCCTACCCGCTGCCGCCGCCGCCCCCCGGCGGCGGGTAGGAAGGTAGGCAGGATGGGAAAGATAGGACGGGGCTCCCTGCGCCAGAACCCTGACAGGGCCCCCATCCTAGCTTTCCCATCCTGCCTACCTATCCCAGCTGCCGCCGCCGCCAGCCCCCGGGGCCCCATCCCAGCTTTCCCATCCTACCTACCTATCCCAGCTGCCGCCGCTGCCAGCCCCCGGGGCCCCATCCCAGCTTTCCCGTCCTACCTACCTTTCCCAGCTGCCGCCGCCGCCCACCGGCGGCGGGTAGGAAAGGTAGGCAGGATGGGAAAGATGGGACGGGGCTCCCTGCGGAGCGCCGCTCCCTGGGCTGGGACAGCTAGGAAGCCTGGGAGGCTCGCAGGCAGTGGCGGTGGGAAGGCTCAGCTAGGATGAGGCCGGACATGGACGAGGGGGGCCAGCATCCAAGCTAGGCAGCTGGGAACCAAATTTCATGCCTAGCTAGGACTGTCTCCTTTCCCAGCTCGGATTTCAAAGCACAAAAAATGTGTCCTAGCTAGGAAGGTAGGAAATCCAACCGCCTCTTGCCCATTCCTGGAGCATTGTGCCGTACCACGGCCTCAGAAAGTGTTTATTGACGCTGAACTGCCTGCAGGTGGGGCACAAGGAGGCAGCGCTGGACTAGGCGGCATACACGAGGCGTCCAAGGTGCTCAGCCTTGAAATGTACACCCAGGCAGGCGACTTGCAGGTGGCCGAGTACTGCGAGAAAGAGCACGCCAAGGAACTTGGGCTGCTGTTTCTGCGCATCAACAACGGGACTGACTACACGTCTTGCCATTCAAGCGAGTGGATGGCGAAGTTTCAGGGTAAGGGGTAATTTATATGGGGTCAACCAGGGTGACGGTGGGAATACCAGCCACTAGAAAACGGGCTCCTTTTCTCTCCCCGCGGGCATTTAATTGCCTTTCGTACGCAGCAGCACTGAGAAAGTAGAGGAAGGGGTTTAGAGGTCAAAATAGGAAGGTGTTGTGGCCATGGGTAGTTGGTTGGAACCTGGCCAGGTTGCAAAAGGCATTCCGGAGAGTTGCCTGAATCGCCCTTTTTTACCCGTTCTCTTTTTCCATAACGCTGGAGTCATAAATAAACCACTTTCGCGTGCAGCGGAGCCCAGTTGGCTTCTCCCCTGGCGATCCCCCCGGCCTGACTGCTGCCCACCCGGGCCGGGGTACAGCTCTGCTTGCCAGAAGGGCTTTCAAATCTAGTTCTAAGAAGCGAAAGTTGCATTTTGCCGCATCGGGAGCCTCCCTCCACCACCCCTTTCCTGACCCCACTGGCAGTGACAGTTGGAGTCAGGGGCAAGTGGCCCTAGTCCCTGGCATATAAACTCCGCCTGAAGGCACTGGGTGCTAATCTGCATCCTCATCCTGAGCATCCAGGGACAGTGCAGCCTTACCCTGCAAACTCCTGGTCTCACCGCAGAAATATCTGGAACTGGACGCAAAGTGTTCATTGACATTGGGTGCAATAAAGGTGAGTGGATTGATGAAATTGCGCATCCAGCCGTATTGGTTACTTTCAGCGGGCACATTTGCCAACGTGTGCCGCAGGCTACAGCAGTGCGCATATGATTGGTTTATGGGCACCCCACGTGGGGTTCACCCCCAAGTCCATGCAACAGTGGCAGCCCGAATTAGGTTGCGGTAACTGTGGCGATTGCGAAACCGAGGTCAGTGGGCCCCATACATGTTAACAACAGTTCGATCAGCAACACCAGTGGGGTTCGTCGCACATGCTGCCTGCCCCCTTTTCCCCTGCAGGTGGTGCCGAGGACGGAAGTACCAAAAGAAGAAGTTGACTTGCAGGTGCTGTGTGTTGAGCCCAACCTGGACACCTTTGCTCACCTCGTGACCATGCGGAGGCACTTTTTTGGTGACAAAGTGGAGGGCGTGCAATGGTGAGGGGGCAGGCTGTGGTCCACGCTTGTGGCAGAAGCACAGGGCCATTTGCTGTTCCTTGCCTACCAGGTGCGTGCTCCTCCCTGCCCACTATGCAGGCACTTGGTGCTGTCGGCTATCAGCAATAACAACAACAGCTTTGTCAAGTTTCCTCGCTGCTCCTCGGGCGACGAGGAGTGCAGCCTGTTCCCTGATGAACCCACCACCCCGAACAGCACCCAGCAGGCGATAGGGTTTGACACTGTGCCCATGCGCAGCATTGACGAGCTGATCCAGATTTACCAGCTGGATTATGTCGATCTGCTCAAGGTGCGGGTGCAGCGCAGGCGGTGCAGGGCAATTAGCAGCGGAATTGCGAGCATTTTTTGCCGCCATGCTTGGTTCGCGCCCTGCCTGCCGACCAACTGCTCAATCCCCTGTCCCTGCCTGCTCTCCCCACCCCAGATTGACACAGAAGGTAGACAGGCTGAATCACCCACCCTGGGTTGCGCGACAGCTGATGTGCAATGCTGCCCCCGCTCATTGCCTGGTGCAGGTGCTCAGTTCAGGTTCGTGTCTAACCGTGCGCTCACTCTGTCCCTCCCCCACTCGCTGCCGCCGTACAAGCGCAGGCTACGACCCGCTAGCTTTGCAGGGTGCAATGCAGAGCCTGATGCAGAAGCGAGTGGGCCTGGTTCAATTTGAGTATCATTCGCTAGGCGTGTGGCACCAGCACAGGCTCCAGCACATTGTGGAGCGCATGAGCGCCCTAAACTACGTTTGCTATTTCTCGGGTGAGTTGGGCGGTGTTCTGTGTTCTAACCTAATTTGCTGATTGAATGTCCTGTCCATCTTCATGGGCAAAGCCTTTGTTGGTATAGACCCTCAAAAGGTCCGTGTCTCCCTGTCTGTAGGCAAGAATTTCCCCGAGGGGTCGCTCGTGCGCATCACTTATTGTCATGCGCCCGAACTGGAATTCTGGAACATGGCGAACGTGGTGAGCTCTTGAATGCTCTGCGATTTCATGGCCCCAGTATTACAGCGCTGTGGCAGGATCCCAGTTGCGCGGGTGGCGCGTGACCCTGCACCATTCCCCCCTGCAGATGTGCGTACCCCGGGACCACCCGCTGTACCCGCATGCCGAGCGCATGACCACACGATATGTCAAGTACCGAGCACACTATTACACAGAGGCAGGGGAGCAGGGAGATGCGGCTGCATGAAGGCGGATTCTGTTGATGCGTGACATCATTTCTTCCGCTTTTCCCTCTTCTGTTCTAGTTCCAAGCTGCGGTGCCCGATGCTCTGCTTTTCCCGAAGCTCATCACAGGTGTAACCATGACTGGACTGCGAAGCGTCAACAAACAATGCAGCGGTACATGGCGGTTGGTACAAAATGCGACATGCTGGCGGGGCTGAGCTTGCCCCGGAAGACGTTAGGCTCAGGCTGTGGCCACTTGTGGCGGCTGCTGCTCCTGCTGCTGCTCCTCCTCTGCGACCCTTGCCGCCGCTCCCTCGCCGCCGCACTGCCTCTGGCTGTTGGCACCCACGCGGAACTCATGTGGGTTGACAGCCACGCTCTTGGTGGCGTTGTCTGTCTTGTAGATGCCCACCAGGCGGTCAGCCAGCTCAAACATGTTGTTGCGCAGCGAGATGATGACAAACTGCGCGTTCTTAGTGCGCTCCTTAATGTAGTGGCCCACGATGGACACATTCTTGAAATCTGCAGTAAGCAAGCACGCAATGTGATGACAGCACAGATGGAGAGGAGTGCATCAAACAAGGCACGGAGGGGCGGCGATCGAGTGCTGCTCTTCCCCCAAAAGGAAATCCTGGCCGCGTGCAAAGCCTCTCACCCAGCGCAGCATCGATCTCATCCATGACGTAAAGTGGAGTGGGCTTGAAGTGGTGCAGCGCAAAGACAAGGGAGAGCGAGGACAGCGTCTTCTCGCCGCCCGACAGGTTGGCAATGTTCTTCCAGCTCTTCTTCGGGGGCCGCACGCTGAATAGAATGCCCTCTGCGAGAAGGCAGCGTCGGGCAGGGCAAGGTAGTTTTTAAGGGCGCTGTGCTGTGATACCAATAACTTGTAGGTGGCCCGTGCCATTAACAGCAGCAAAAGTGCCCCTCCATCTTCCCCTTGCCGCAGAACACCCAACGAACCTGCAAAGGGGTCCAGCGAGTCCACCAGCTCCAGCTCGGCGTCGCCACCCAGCGTGATCATCTGATACATCTCCTTGAGCTTTAGCCCAATCACGTTGAAACCAGCCATGAACTCGTCCAGCCGCCGCTTGCGCAGCTCTTCGTGCTCACGACGCACCTGCACAAAGAAGGGCCATGCCCCGGCTGGCCGGATCAGCAGACATCCGCTAGTGGCAACTTTCTGCCTACCGGGGCCCCCACCCCTAAATCCCACCTCGTCGCGCTCCGCGGTGGCAGCCTCCAGCTCGCGCGCCCGGTTGCTGTACTCTGCGTCTGCAGCCCGCCACTTGGCAATGGCCTCCAGGTCCACCTCCATCACTCCCATCTCCTCCTCCAGGATGGTGATACGGTACTGCACGTCTTTGGGATCCACCATCCCGAGCGCCACCTCATCCAGCGGTGCCGGTTCAGCGCCTGTGGTGGTGCGGAGAATCATGAAAATGGTACACAAAAGTAAGTCCGCAAAGAGAAACACAAACTGTGCGGAGGAAATACAAACTGCCAGCCCAACTGCTCAGCCAGCACGCATCAGCTGTCCTGGTGGTGCCATCCACACGCCCTTGCCTGCGGTTCAAACCCCTGTCAGCCGTGCCCCGCTCACCATCGCGCTCCGCAATAAGCTGCCCATACTCCTTGGCCTTGGAGCCCCAGTGTTTCAGCTTGCCACGCTCATCTTTGTGCGCTACCTTTTGCTCATCAATCTTGCCAGCAATGTCCACCTCCATCTGGCGGATGATGGACAGCTGCAGGTATCACACCAAATTGCACGCACAGGAGTTGCAGGGAAAGGTGGAGGGCAGGGGCTCTGCAACGCCACCCTCGGTGCATGTAGATGGCATCAACATCTCACCACCCGGCCACCCACCTCTTTCTTCCTCTGCTCAAATTCGGTGCGGATGGCAGTCAGCTCCACGTCCTTGGCAGCCAGTGCCTCCTTGGTGGCCTCCACCGCCTCCAACACCTTCAAAGCAGCCTCCTCCAGGTCCTTGAGCTCCTGCAGAGCACAGCATGACATGCCGGCTCAGCACCATTGCATCCCACAGCAGGCGTTTGCAGACCAAGTGACAATGCCTGGGGCAGAGCAGCAAGCCCGCCCGATATCCAAATGTGTCAACCGTTCCGTGCCGCCCGCTCCATAATTGTGTCAACCATTCCGCTCTATCGCACCTGAGTAGCCGCCGTCTGTTGCGCCATCAGCTTCTCGCGCTCCATTTCCGCCTTGCCCGCCTCCTTGGCCAGCTTGTCCAGCTGCCTTTGGGTGGTGCCAATTTGCACTCCCTTCTTGGTGGCCTCACTCTCGCAGGCGGTGATGTCCTAGAGGGTCATCAGCGATGGGAAAGGGACCATCATCAGCCACACAGATTGCAGCCCACTCTTCCTGCCATTCCAACCTGGTTGCTGGAGTCTCCCTCAATCCCATGCCAGCAGGAGCAGCATGTGCAGCCCACCTCCTGCAGCTTGTTGCAGAGTGCACGCTGCCGCCGCAGCTTCTCGCCGCCCGCTCCTACAATCTGCTGCTGTAGCTCCTCGGCACGCCGCGACAGCCCCTCCGACTTGCGCCGCAGCTCTGCCAGCGCCCTCTCCTCCTGCGCCATCTCGGCTCCCAGCGCCTTGAGCCGTGCAGCATCCTCACAGCTCACCCGCGTTGCCGCCTCAAGCTCACCCAGCCGCTGCTGGAGGTCGGTGGCGGTGGCCTGGGCAGCCTCCGCCTCCATGCGCGTCTGCAGGACCGCCCAAAGAGCCAGGCAGGGGGGGGGTGCAGTGAGGGGCACGGGGTGTGCTGCTAGCACGCAAAACACACAGGTCAGGCGAGCATCCAACAAGACTATGACACGCCACCCGCCCCTTACCTTGGGGATGGCTGTCTCCAGGTCTGACAACATGCGCTCAGCATTCTTGGCATCGGCACCAGCATCCGACAGCCGGCCCCGCGCGTCCCGCAGTGCTTCCTGGCTCGCCAACAGCTCCTGCTCTGCTGCTGCCAGCTCCTGCGCCGCAGCCCGCGAGTCCACACCCCGCGGCGCCTGGCTGCCAATGCACATGCGGCCACCGCGTGGCTTCCCGCCGCCACCAGTCATAGTGCCCGACTCGTTGATCATCTCACCCTGCCCGAGCAGCAAGGGCCAGGGGGAAGTGGCAGGGCAGTAACGAGGCGGGCAGCAGGGGCAGCTGCATGCTATGCATCCCGCCGCTGCAAGCCGCTGCTCCTATTCACTGCCTTCCCACCCTCGCACCTTGACCGTGACGACACGGCGCCAGCGGCGGTCCTGCCCATAAGCAATGCGTGAGGCCTGCTCTAGATCCTGCGCCACCACAGTGTCGCGCATGGCAAAGTAAAAGGCAACCCGCAGCCTGTCGTCGGGGCACTTGACCAGGTCAAACAGCCGCTTCACGCCTGCAACATGGGGAAAGGGGAAGGGGGCGGGATAGGTGAACGCGGTTGGTGGGGTGGAGATGAGCTATTGCCCAAGGCACATGCCCGGAGAGAGTGCATGGCCAAAAGTGCAAAGGTAGCGCCACACTGCATATCCCTAGCTGCTCACCTTCTGGCGGCTGCTTCTTCTCTCTGACAGTCCCTGCCAGGTGCTGCTGCTTCTCGAGGATGAGGAAGGTGGCTACGCCCAGCTGGCGCTGCCGCAGAAGCTCCACACAGCGCTGCGCAGCGCTCGTGGTGTCTACCACGATGTAGTCAAGTGCGGGACAGGAGGTGGAGACAGCGATGTCATACTCCTTGGCAATGGCACCCAGGTCGCCTGAGGGGTGTGAGTTGCGGGGTGGCAAGGTTGAGGAAAGAACATAACATGTCGGAGGCTGCACTCACCAACCAACACCAACTTGAGCCATGCCTGCTCCCCTCCCCCCTCTCTCCCAGCAGTGCACAGCCAGCACCCGCCTCACCAAGCCGGCCATAAATGCCATGAATCTCGCCGCGTTGCCGCGCCTCCATCAACGCCTTGACAACCGCGCCCTGCGAAGCCTGGCTGTTGATGTCAGTGCGCCGCTGCTCCACGCGACCGCGCACTTCGCGCAACACTTCATCCAGCTGTTCCATCTGCGCCGCTGCCGCAGCCTCCTCCTGCCGCGCTTTCTCCGCTTGGCGCCTGCACACAGCATCAGCAGAATGTATCAAGAGCAGGCGCACACAGGCAGCACTGGCCTCAATTTGATGTACACCCGACCCGTGCAACCAAAGCTGCCACCACCACACCTGTACTTTTCCACTGCCGCCTCCATTTCCTTGACCTGCCCTGCCTTGTTGCGCGTCGTCTCTTGTGCCGCCTTGAGCGACAGCTGCGCAGATGCGAACCGATTCTTGGCATCCTCGTGCTGCTTGGTCAGCAGACCATGCTCGCTTGCAGCCACATCGATGCGCGCCTGCACCTCCTTCATCTGCCTTTCCCAGGGTGCCAGGGCAGCCTTCACGCCCTCCAGCTGTGCGCGGTACCCCTCCACCTCGGCGTGGATGCCCTCTTCCAGGCCGGTGCGCACCTGCAGGAAAAAAAGGCCGGCAGCAGCAATCAGGAGCGGCGGGAGCAACTCAGACATGCGACTACGGTGACAGGCCCAAGCCACGCCCTATCTCTCAATCTTTGATGTGTGGTGGCGGCACGTGCGGAATATGCAAGGTAAAGAGCAGCGGGACAATCATAACCAGGAATGCAGGCCCCTGCTAACAATGACAGTTAGCAAGGACCTGCACTGCCGATGCCCTTCACCCACCTCCTGCGCCTTGATCAACTGCAGCTCCAGATCAGCTGTACGAGCCTGCAGCGCAGGAACATCCTCCTGCAACCGGGCCAGCTCCGCTTGCAGCTCGTCAGCCTTCGTGCCGTCCTTGGCCATTTTCTCCTCCACCTTCTTCAGCTTCTGCTTCAGGTGCTTGAGGTCCTCCCTGCATAGCCCGAGCAGCCAGCCAGCAGGCACGGGGTGATGGAAGGGATTTCACAACCTAACTGGGTACTACATGGCTGCCTGCAGAGCGCCGCTACAGTACGACCCAGCCACCTTACCTGTACTTGATGTCCTTGCGCTCAAACTCCTTGAAGGTGGCATGCGCCTTCTCCAGCTCCTTGGCAATGACTTGATGCTCTCCGGTGACCACATTGTACCTGTAGCAACTCAACAGCTCAGCTTGGATGGCTGCTGCTCAGGCCTCCAGCCAATTGAGGAACCACACAAGCAGCCCAGGCCCAGACCCCAGTCCTGTGGCCTCGCTCCCTCAACTCACTTCTCCTCATGCTCCTTGAGCGCCTTGTCGTAATCCTTGAACTTCTCCTTCTCATGGGCCAGCTTCTCCTCCAGGCGCGCCAGGTTGGACTCGATCTTGTCCACATTATGCTGCAGGGAGGCATCATCGCAGCAGTGGTGCACGCACCGCTGCCATGCACACAGCACCTCCCACATGGCATCCCTGCCAGCTCACGCTTGCCGCACCTTGGCCATGCTGACAAGCAATTGTGCCAGCATGCTCTGCTGGCCCAGGCACTCTCGCTCCTTGGCCAGATACATCTCCGCCACCTCCTTGTCCCCAGCCAGTCCATCCCGTTCCTTCTGCGCCGCCTTGACTCGCTGCAACTTGCTCTGTCGCTGCTCGCTCAGCGCCTCCAGCCTGCGAAGGGGTGCAGGGTGCCAGCGTTGTGTGCGGCCCAACCAATCTGTCCTCGGCAGTACTTCCCCCAGCAAGCGGATCAGCTGATGGGAACCCCCGCAATTTAGTCCACCATGGCGCCTCACCCCTGCCAGTGTTTCCCACTGCCCTAATGATCTACCTGCCTGGCATGACGCATTCGACCAGGGCTCACCAACCAACTCAACACCAGCTCCACCCACCGTTTTGAGCTCTCCTCGAGCAGTGGGATGTACTTGTCAGTGCCGATAATGTCCTCCAAGTACTCCAGCAGCCCTGTCTCGTGCTCGCTCTGACCCTTGGGCTTCATCATGCTGATCTGCTCGACCTCACCCTGCAGAGGAATGCCAGGCGGCAGTGTCCTACTGATCACCCACACCCTCCTCGGCCGCTGTCGCACAAGGACTTTTGTTCATCGCCACCCGCCACCTTGGGGCCTGGATGCCTTCTGTGCCGCCCACCTGAAGGATTAGGAAGCGGTTGTTGTCCAGGTCCACGCCCTTGTCCTTGAGCAGCTCTGTGACCTCTTTGAAGTTGGACTTGGCGTCGTCGATGTAGTAGTTGCTGGTGTTGTTGCGGTGTGCGGTGCGGCTGATCACAAACTCAGATCCGGGCACCACTTTGTACCGCTCGTCATCCTGCGCCAGCATTGGGCGGCAATGGCGCAGCAATGACGATGGCACAAGTAGGCGGCCCTGGCGGCAGCACAGGGCAACAGCTGGATTTGGCCTGCAGCTGCGCTGCTCGCTGTCGGTTGCTTCCACTGCTGTGGGGCTCACAATGTCCACAATTTCCTGGAAGTGCACCGAGACGCGCGCTTGCTCCAGGTTACGGTGGTAGGTTGAGTTGTGGATCAGCTCCGACACCTTGTTCAGGCGCAGCTGCTTGGCACGCTTGCCAAACACAAAGAGCATGGCGTCAATGACATTAGACTTGCCGCTGCCATTGGGGCCCACCACCGACGAGAAGCTCTGCAGAAGGGTGGGTGCAACAGTGGCCACGGGCAAGAGGCATGGCGGTCCAGTGCTGGCTCCAGCCCCGCCGTCTGCAGAGCTGTCGGCAACGTTGGGGGCGGCAGCGGGGCGGGACACACCTTGTGGAAGGGGCCCACGCTCTGCGCCCCCGCGTAGCTCTTGAAGTTCTCCAACACCATCTGTGTGATCATCAGGCGCGCAGCGCCCTCTGGGGCCGACCCTGAGCCAGGTGCGGCTGCCATTCTGTGGCAGCTGTCCGTTCAAGCTGTCGGGCTCAAGACCATGCTAGCCGCCGCAGTGGGGCAGTGGTCGAGTGGGCAGGGCATGTAGCAGCGTCGCGGAGTCTGTTTGGTTGAGCGAATGTGGCGCAGCAGGCAGCAGGCAGCCCATGTCAATCCGGCTCAAGACAATCCGGCGCATTGTGCACCGGCTAACCCTTCTCTATCCACGGCGCATTTGAACAGCCCCTGCCAGCCACTTGCACCTGCAGCCCCATCCGCGTCGTCGCTTTGGCTGGCCTGGGCTTCGGGACGAGTCTGCAGCCGCGTGAGATCACGAGGTGATTGACCAGCTCCTGTGACGGCTGCTGCAAGTGGCAAGCCCCTCGCGGGGCCTTGGGCAGGGGTTGCAACCCAGATGGGGCGGGGCGGGGGCTTGCTGGGCCATGCCCCAGCATTGATGGGCTGTTGCAGCAGATGTGGGAGTCGCAGACAGCGCGTCAAGCCGGCAGGGGCCCCCGTCCTCGCGCATCTGCGCGCAATCTGACTCTGGCTCTTCTTTGGGCCTCCCTTGCCCTCTTGTCCCGCAGTGCAGCCCACACATGGCATCATGGGGAGCTGGTGCGCCAGCATGGCGTCTGTGCAGCCTGCTGGTGCTAGCGCTAACTGTGGCGGTAAGTGCCGGCGCGCCGCTATTGCCCCTCCGGCTGCATACCCCGCGTGCGGAGGTGCACCACTGAATCAGGGCAGTCTCTGGCGCGATGGTTGCTTGCCCACTTGTGGCTGCTGTGCATCCAACGCTGGCGAGCCGCAACCTGGCTGCCCAGGAGGGTGCAGGCGCAAGCCCCGCCTTGCCAACCCCCACCGTCGCGCACCTGCAACCTGCAGGCCCCCATGGCAGGAGCCCTTGAGGCCGCAGCAGTGCAGACCGTCACGGTGCAGGCCACCGATGCGCAGGGCATGCAGGCAACTACCCAGGCCACACATGCAGCCACCACCGCTCCGGCCGCTGTCGGCGCTGGTGGTGCTGATATGCAGCAGCAGGCGGCGCAGGCGGCAGCTGCCACCACGGCTGTGCAAGGTTCCGTCACCGGAACCGTGGCACAGCAGCAGCAGCAGTCTGTGGCAGCAGAGGCAGGGACCACCACTGCCAGTGCCACCGCCACCGTGGACGACCTGTTCCTGTGCGAGGACAAGCTGAAGAACAGCACAATTGTGGAGCAGCTGCCGCAGCTCAAGATTCAGCAGGTGCTGGACAGCAACAAGCCACGAAGCCCGCAGGATGTCACGCTCGTCACGCAGCTGTCCTTTGAGCGGCTGTACATGCTTGAGGGGCAGTGCGATGTGTGGAATGGGGTCATCTCCGCCGCCGTCTATATCGCGCTGCTGAATGGCAAGGTGGTGACCGTGGAGCTCAACAGCAACCAGGACCCGCGTCTGACCGACATTACCGAGGTGGAGCGCAAGTTCAAGCAGTTCCACCAGCTGGCAGAGGCCAAGGGTGCGCACGTGCCTGGCTTGTGCATGCGGCCTGCCGCTGTGTTGTTTCTCCTGTTGATGGCGATCAAGAGGATAGCGTCAAGCTTGGTACAAGTCGTGCCTCTTGCCCATTCACACCCGTTTACCTGCGCTCCGCTTGCCTCTTACCTTGCATTGTTGCCCCGCGGCATGCAGGGCTGTGCAAGCTGGACCTGCAGCTGGTGAGCCAGACGGTGGAGAGCATCTGGCTGTCGGCGCTGTACCCCGTGAACGCGATGCGCAACCGGGCGCTGGCCAATGCCCGCACCGACGCCGTGCTGCTGCTGGACGTCGACTTCTGGCCCTCGGCTGAGCTGAGTGAGCTGATGCAGAAGCCTGCCAAGTACGAGAGCCTGATGAAGACGCTGCAGGCAGGGGCTGCAGTTGTGCTGCCGGCCTACGAGACGGGCGACCCGGGCGACATTGGCGTCGAAGTGGCACGCGAGGCAGTGCTGGGTACGTTCCTGTCAGCTGTGGTTTTCTCTGCCGGCGAGCTGGAGGGCTCGTCCGCGGCGTCATGCAGCCTGCTGCTCTGTCTGTGTGCGCCAGCCAGCGCACACAGTTGCAACAGCAAGCAACTGCTGCATGCTCTTGCTGCGCTGCCGCTGCCTGCAGAGGGCAAAGATGCCGCTGTGAAGATGTTCTGGGACGGGCGCATCAAAGCCTTCCACACTGACCGATATGAGGCGGGCCACCGCGCTACCGACTACAAAAAGTGGCTGCAGGCTTCGCGCCCCTACAACATTATGTGAGTGCTTCTCCTGCCTCTCATGGTTGTTGTGCTGGTCAGCACTGTGAAGCATGGCGCGCTATGTGTCCCCCCCACCTCACCGTGCGCCGCCTGCACTACTCCTCCAGGTACGAAGAGGGCTTTGAGCCATACGTCATCATCTCCCGCAAGTTTGTGCCCTGGTACGACGAGCGTTTCGTGGGCTACCGCAAGAATAAGGTGGTGCACCTGCTCTACCTCTCCACCAGCGGCATCCAGTTCATGGTGCACCCCCGCGCCTTCACTGTGCACTCCCCCCATCCCCGTGCTCGCACCTGGAAGGTCACCCACAAGACCGGCCTGTGGGACCAGGTGTGTGCGCGCGCGATCATGCCCCGGCACAACCAACTGCACAGCCCACCACCTGCCACCCCTACCCAGTGTCTGGTTCTTGCCATACGGCGGCTTGCCAAGCGTGGCTGCCATGGTCCGCAGCCAGCCCTTAGCTTCCCCCTTGTGTCCCGCCCCCTGCACTTCCCTGCCTTCAGCTGGCGGAGATCTACGACCAGGCCAAGACGGGCATGCTGGCGGGCACCTACATCCCGGTTGCCATGTACTCGTGTGGGGGGCACACGGCTGGGCCGCAGCTAGCACATCGGCCCACGTTTGCGTCGGCGCAAGCCTGAGGGGTGGCCGAACCTGTGCCCGCGCCCTATTTTTTATTTACTGATTCTCTCTTCTAGAGTCACGGCCAGGCTCAACATTGGCGCCAATTCAAATAAATGCTTGTTGCAAAATGGCATCAAAGCTTGTTGGCATACAGGCGCTACAGGTGGCCTGTATGCTGGACACATCTGCGGCGGCGCAAGCGTGGCGGCGCAGGATATCTGCGGCGCCCGCCCGGCGTGCGCTGCGCCGGCGCTGTGACTGTGACAAAGCGCAGGCGTGGCTTGCTGCTTGGTGGGCTTTTCCGCACGCTTACAGTCAGGTCCGCTGGGCCCGTGCGCAATCTGGCAAAGCGCAAGACCTGCTCAGCGTCGCTGCTCAGCCGGCCTTGGAACACTTCCAGCAGCGCCGAACCAATAAGGTGATCATTGCCAGCCCTTCACGTGGTACCAGGATCTGAGGCAACTGCGGCGGGTGCCGCCGTTGTGTCGGAACAGCGCCGCTGCCAGCGCCCCATGAAGTGTGTTCCCGCCGACGGGCCTTGTCTTTGATTACCCAATGTGATGCTGTTGGCATCATTAATGCTCTGCTTCCCATGTTGGACATCCAGGGCAAACATGAAGCGCAAGGCGGCGGCCGCTGGTCGCACCGTCAGGACGTACCCTCTCACCCCTCACACCAGTCGATTCGTCGACTGCCCGGCCTGCCAGCGCTCCGTTCCCTTCGCTTCTATCAACATGCACCTGGACACCCAGTGTCGCCCCGGGGATACAGCAGGCCTGCCCAAGACCCCTGGAACAGGCTTACCCACCACGTTGCAGCAGACTGGCAGCCAGCATCAGCATCAGCATCAGCAGCAGGAGCAGCAGCAACGTGGCATCAACTTCAGCAGCAGCAGCACGGTCCAGTCGCTCAGCATGCCAGCACAAGCTATGCTGCCGCAGCAGCCCAGACTGGTGCTGCGCCAGCAAGACGCAGTGCTAACTACTCCCTTCCTCAGGCACCCAGGCAAGGCCCCCGTGCAGCCAGCCAGTGAAGAGCCTGCACAGCTCGGCCAAACCAGTGAGACCAGCGCCAGCGCCAGCGCCAGCCTTCCGTTTTGGCGCCGGTCCCCCGCAGCGGCCATCGCGTTCAACAGCGGTGGGGGAAAGCGAGGCCTGGTCACGGCTGAAGCGCTGTTTGCTGTTTCGTGCGAGCTGCTGACAAATTTTCTGCCGCCGGATCTTTCCGAGCAAGTCCTGCGACAGCTGATGGCAGATCAGCCTGGTTGGAAGCGGATGGAGTGGTGGTTTACAAGGCCGGACAACGGAAAGGCGCAGGAGGGGCGGCCGTTGGAGCAGCATGCGGTGATGTCCAGCACGACCAGCTGTCACTACGTGATGCAGGTGACGGCAGTTTGCTCTCTGCTCACTGCTGTTTGCTCTCCACCTGCCCGTCCGCATTTCCTTCCACTATGTTTCGTCGCCGTTGCTTGCAGACTGATGCCAATCCTTCAGCAGCGAGCAGCACTGGCCATGCTGAGCTGCTTGAGACCACCGGCGCCGGCAGCAGCTTGGATGGCGCGCTGGCTGCGTTTCCGGCGCTGCAGCAGGCAGGAGAGATGGCGGCGGCGGCGGTGAGCGCGCGAATTATGAGCGGTGGTGCTGCTGGGCTGCCGCTGGAGGCTGCCGATCGCCGGGGCTGGGCCCCGAGCTTTGCGGTGGTCAACTGTTACGCACACGGCGGCGCAGGGCTGGGCGCCCACTCTGATCGCTTGACGGCCCTTGGCCCAGCTCCCATCATTACCAGCCTCACCCTCGGGGCCACCCGCTGCTTCCGTCTGCACCGCACTTGCCTGTACCAGCTGCACAGTGGCAGCGGGGGCGGCGGCAGCGCTTCGGCGCAGGAGGCCGGCGCTTCAGACATCGTACGCGTGGACATTGAGCTGCCACACAACTCGCTGCTGATCATGTGGCCGCCGTGCCAAGAATGTTGGACGCACGAGGTTGATGGAGGCCGAGGCTGGGTGGAGGCATGCATGTACACATGCTGAAGGGACAAGGAGCAGCAGCGTCCGCTGCCACCCTGACGCCCTAAACAACGCCCTGGCACTCCACCTGCCTGTCTGCAGGTCCCCAAAACTTCCAAGCCCATCCACCCGCACAAGATCAGCGGGGTGGCACGATTCAACATCACCTTCCGTCGCCTCAAGCCACAGTGGCAGCAGCAGGCGCCGCTGTGCCGCTGCGGGCGCCCGTCGGTGATGAAGGCGCATTCTGCCAGGCAGCCAATTGCGCAGTTGGGAAAGCAGGTGCCGTCGCAGGTGTTGCGCTACTACTACACCTGCGACAACTCCCAGGGGCCCAAGTGCGCCTTCTTCAAGCAGTCCCCGCACCAGGTCGCCCTCTGAGGGTTTGACGCACGTTGGGGTGTATAGAGGATGCATGATCTGGTGCCATCCCAGTGCTGCAATGCGCCGGTGTGGCACCTTAGGATTTTCCGGTGTGTAGGCATCCCTCGTGCCAGCACTCTGTGTTATCCCCGTTGGCCAGGCTCTTTCCTTAAAAGCTCCTGCCGTGCTCAGGGTACACACACATTCACCGTTACCATGCATTTGAACACCACCTGAGCTCGTAAAGTTGGGTATTCCACAGGTCTGGGAGTGCTGCAGAAAAGAAGAAGGCTGGCGACAAAGCCCACTGTCGGACCTTCAGAGGCTGGCGACAAAGCAGGCGCGGCATGAACCACCTGGCGGCGGCTGCTGCTTCAAAAAAGCTGCGCGAGCCTGCAGTCGTGCAACGTTTCCTCACGCTTCCTAGTAGTACAACCATGTCGAAGGCGCGCAGCAGGCGGCAGCACCTGGCCCTGTCCGCCATACCAGAGGGTGCCGAGGATGAGCCCGCAGCGGTGGAGGCAGCCGGCGCTAGGCCCGTGGCCGAAATCATGCAGCTCATCGACACGCTTGAGGCTGCAGGTGAAGCCGGGGGCTCGCGATGGTTGGCGGCACTTGGGCTTGCCTCACGGCCGCGCCCCTTGTGCCTTTCAGTGGATGAGAAGATCAGCTCCATCATGTCTGCGGCGGAGGATGCCATCACGGCTGTCAAGAACGAGTGCAAGCGGCTGCTGGTGCTGCTGCCCGCCAAAGTACGCCGTCGCCGTTGCTGCGACAGCTTCAGGCTGGGCCCGTATGCGGCAGGACAGCAATCGGCATCTGCACGGCCATCCCAGCCTGCTGCTGCAATACCACCAGTTTTAAGCCGCCCCACAAGGCAGCCCATCCCCGCCGCTGGCCGCTGGGCCGCCTGCCCCTATCCTCCACCCGCCGTGCAGACCAGAAAGATGCAGCTGGCAGACTTCAAAAAGGCATACCCTGGTGACTTCCAGGCAGGTGCGCTTGAAGAGATCCAGGACCGATGCACGGCCATGGCGGCAGCGGCGGCGGCGCAACCTGTTCCTGCCACAGGCAGGGCCACCCGCACAGCCGCCAAGCGTGCCGCCGAGCCGGCAACAGTGCTGCGGACGGTGCGGGCACGGCGGGGGCCAGTGGCCCCGCCGCCCGAGTTTAGCGAGGCTGCATGGCCAGAACCAGCGGAGGCGGCAGCGCCGGCAGCAGCAGCACAGGTAGAGACTGCCAGTCGGCGCGGCACGCGATCACGCACCGCCGGATCTTCAGCAGCAGAGGCGGCGGCAGCACAGGAGCAGCAGACAGGCAAGTGCCAGCGGGTTGCTGCTGAGCGGCATTATGCTGAGGCTCTGGGGACACAGATGCGTGCCAACCTGATCCCTGCTTCCCTGGCGCATGAGCTTGCATCTCATAACTGCACCGCATACGAAGGTGTCTCCCCATCGCACCTTCTGCAGAGCCGGCCACCAGCAGGCGCGGCGCGGCAGCAGCGCCAAGTGCCAGCGGCATGTTCCTTGGCATGCCGCTGCAGACACCCATGCCGTTTATGGGTGAGGCAGTTGCGTTGCCCATCACCATCCTCGCACAGAAGCGCGGTGGCAAGACCAAGGCGGCGCCCTTGCCAGAAGCAGCCATCATCACCACCTCAGGTGGGGTGGGTGGGTGGTGGATGGGCCTGGTATTGGCACAGGATGGGCAACAACTACCGGGGTGGAGCTCTGCACAGTCGCGCATGGTCGGGGCCCCTGGCATCTGATCCCTACCCTGCCACCGCCACCATTGCAGACGGCAAGCAATGGGCGCTGGGTGCGGAAGGCATCAAGGGCGTCCCAGAGACGCACCGCCAGGAGGTCAGCGACCTGCTGACCGCGCAATTTAACTTTTTTGCGGCGGCGCTTGGCAAGACGGTTTTCCAGCGCGACACCACTCGCGGCAGCCGACGGCGGTGAGGGAAGCGTGCACCCTGGGTGCTAAATGGCGCCTGCGAGTGGCATCACGGTGATTGACAGGCCTTGGCCAGCGGTGCTGTGCGGAGGACCAGCAGCATGCACAGTGTGCCTTGAACATGGTTGCCTCACTGTCAGCTGTTCAAGTCCTTCATTGTACCACTAGTTTTATAGAAAGCTCAATGACACAAATATGTACTTTGCGATCCTGAAGTGTCGTTTTGTTGAGAAATTGCATGCAAGGACAAACGCAATCAAAGTTTGGTACTTCACAGCGGCTCGGTTAGGTTCGGTCGCCGCCAGCTGCGTGTCAGGGGTCGCTGGCGGAACCTGCTTGTTGCAAGAGCTCCTGCGGCCTGCTGCCAGAAGCCTCACTGCTAGACGGCTGTGGACTGGGGAAGTCCAACTGTCGGGCTGCACTACCTGGGCGTTGCCTCTCTGTGGCTGCTGCTCCTGCTGGTGCTGCCGCTGCATTGGTGCCAGACAACACCTCAGCTTGCACAGTAACTGCTGGTTTACTGTGCCAAGCTGCTGTGCCGTTGGCAGGTTGCTGGCCCTCGGCTTTACCCTTGTCTGCTGCTTGCTGCTCTCGCAAGCTCGGGCCCGTGGGGCGCCCGCGGCCGCTGCTGCTGGACGTGCGATCCAGTTGCCTTCGCTGGCGATCTGCCTCCTCCTTCTGCTGCTGCAGCACTGCCACCTGCGCGTCGCTGAAGCTGCCCACAAATGCCTGCAATGGCAGCCAAAGCTCCTGCTCTAGCGCGGCCATGGCTGAAGCGCTCTCGCCAAAAAAGGCGGCCATGACAGCAAAGCCATCCCGGCATTCTTGTAGCAGCCTCTTGGCTGCCTCCAGCTGTGTCTCCAAGTCTGACACCATGGCCTGCAGAGCAGCACCGCTGCCACCAGCCACGCCGCACATTTCACTGCTGCTGTATTGCAGCTCACAGCGCACATCAGCAAGCCCCTGCTCAACAGACGCGAGCGCGCTGCCCGCCTCGTCCACGGCGACTCGCAGCTGCGGGCTGGCCACGTGCGGCAGCTCGGTGCGCAGCACCGCCAGCGGCGGCGTGGCAGACACCAGCTGGCGGGCGATCCACGAGAGCAGCGTCTCCTTGCCATCCTGCGCAACACGTTGGGACATTCGATGCCTGGCCTGCACATCGTCATCCCTGTTCCATCCAACCACATTTCCGCTCTAGCGCAGTTCCAGCTCACCAGCGACCGGGTGTCGGCCAGCTTGTTGAGGTTCTTCAGGCGGAAGCCGGCGACACCACCAAGCCGAGAGCCATGGTTCAGGAAGTTGCTGTAGAGCAAGACGGGGATGTGGGTAGGCGCCGCATGGCTATAACATGAGGTAAAAGTCAAAGCAGTTGCAGCAGTGCGGCTCACCCCAACACCAGTGCATGTTGAAGCACCATCGCAAATGATGCACTTGACCGCAGCTCCCTCTGCGCCGCCAAGTAGCATTCCAGCGTGGTGACAGCGGCCTGCGGCAGGAGGCGAAAGCTATGGAACAGGCCACAGGTGGCTGTCAGCACGTTTCAACCGCCCTACCACCTCACCTTGAGCTGCGACGGCGCCTCATGCTTCAACAGCAGGCAGCGCAGTCGGGAGGCCAGGCGTGGCACCTGGCCCAGCTCCCATGCAAACTTCTCAGCTTCGGACAGCGAGCTGGGCTGCCCCCCAGCCTCCAAGAAAGAGCGAAGCAGCTTGAGCTCATCTGCCCTAGGCACACACTGCAGGCAGGTGGCAGCCGGGCAAGTGGGTCAGGGAACCAGCCAGATGACAAGCGGCACTGACAAGCGGCACAGAAGACTTGGGAGCCCACCACAGCTGCCTGCACTCGCCTGGTCCCCACTGCGCGCACCTCACCTCCCTGACAGCACTTATGTCGTCGGCGCTGCGCAGGAGCTGCTGAGGGTCGAGCGCAGCCACCGCAGCAGCCACCCGCTGCCAGGGCGCGCTAAGGCGCGCGATCCTGATGCCTGCAGAAGGCAGCATGGGCCACTAACTTGTACTAGCTAGCTGGCATTTACGAACTGTCATGCAGAGTGTCTGCACTGAACGCTCGCCCCATGCTGCTGCTGCCCTGCTCCTTTGCCTCCACTCACCAATGTTGGTTGCACGGCGGGTGTCCAGCACCGCCACTGCCGCCGCCTGCTTCTTGGCTGCAAGTGGGGTGCCTGCCGGCCATCCAGCTAATTGCGTTGGCAGCAACTCACCAATACGGTCATGCCCCGCACTGCCGGGCCGCCGAATTGCCGCTTGGAACAGCTCTTGCACCGCCGGCGCATCCAGCAGCGAGTAATTCGGGGGGTGGCTCTCCCAAAAGGTGCCTGCCACCCGCGCTGGCGGCAGTGCATCCCAGAACAGAGTCCGCATCTTCACATTGGGTGCGGGGCCCGGGTTGGCAGCATGCAGCGCCCCTACCGGTGGCCCAAGTGGTGGCGACGGCCTGGATGACAGTGGAAGGCCAACTGGAGGCGGTGGGGGTGCGGGAGGCCCTGGCGTGCAAGCTCCATGAGGCGGTGGCGACAAGAGAGGCGCGCCGCCAGTAGCAACACGCTTGCCAGGCAGCGGTGGCGGTGGCGGTGGCCCAGCTGGACATCCAGCCTTGCCTGCAGCATGCGGCAACATGCCAGCAGGATGGTGTCGGCAAAGGAGGGCATCGCATCATAACCCATCAACAAGAATGGCTCAGGATGGCTTCCACACCTGGCGAGACTGGTGGCGGCGGTTGTGGGGTGCCTGCTCCTGGCGCTGCTATTTCAGCTGGCTGCTGCGGAGACTCAGCTGGTTGCGGCAGACGGGGCATCAGCGCACCATGCACCGCCACCTTCAGGCGGTCTACGTCGAGAGACAGCGCTGCATTGTCCCAGGTCGACAGGTCAGCCATCACCTTGAGCAGGCCCACAGCCAGCACCGCATCGGCCAGGCGCCGACGCAGGCCTAGAGCCGCCTCGGGGCTGCTGAGTGCGATGGTGAGGAGACGGATGGCGTGGTCAGCAAGCTCAAAATCTAGCGCGTCAGTGCCGTCGATGCTGCTGCTGCGCCCGCCCTGCAAACAAGCATGTGCAGCAGCGAGTCCTCAGGTGAATATGATGGCCTAGCGACGAGACCTCAAAGACCGCTGGGCAGGTTGCAATGCAAAGCTGTTGTGCACTCCCCTTCGGTGCACCTGCATAAGGCGCAAAAGCAGCATGCAGAGGTTGCGGTGCAGGCGCGCGGTGTAGCTCAGGTAGTGCAGCCCTCCTTCTAGCCCCTCCACCACCACGCCGTCGCCGATGGCTGCTCCAGCAGCAGTCGTCGCCGCAGGTTTGAGTGGGGTAGACAGTGCGCTGGCCATATTTTGGCTGGGGGAGGGCAGCGGCTCCTCTTGCCCCTTCTCGGAAGCCTCTGCTACCCCATTGGCAGCGTGGATTGGGGTCTGTTGTGGCTGGGCGTCTGCTGCTGCTTCAGCAGGATGCGGGGGAGTTGCGGCCGCTGAACCCCGCGCCCTTCCTGGCAGATGTGGCGGCGGCAGTGGAGGGCGAGGCGGGATGCCCGCTGCTGCCCCGCCTGCCCGCCCAGGCAGCAGTGAAGGGAGTGGCGGAGGGCGAGGCGGGGTGCCTGCTATTGACCGTCCCGGCACAAGGGGTGGCGGCGGTGGAGGGCGAGGCGGAGTGGATCCCGCTGCTGGCCCTGCTGCACATCCAGGCAATGGCGGCGGTAGCGGCGGTGGCGCAGGAGATGAGCAGGCGACCCCTGCAGCCCATCTCCTGCCCGGCAGCGGGGGAGGCGGCGGCGGCAGCGGCGCTGATGCCAGGCTGCTTCCACGTTTGCTTGCCAGAGCCGCGGCGGGACACTGCTGTTCCTGCTGCTGCTGCTGCTGCTCGTCCTGCGGATGTCTCACATCTGCAGCTGTGCTGCCTGTGCATGCTGCACCCGGGCGCTCCACAGCCGGCACTTGCTCCCCTAGCAGGGTATGGACTACGGCAGCATACCCCTTTCCGTTGTACAGCAACACAGTGGCCAGCAGCTGCAGCGCCACTTCGCTGCAAGGCAGGCAGGTGCCAGCAGTTGGGGAGGCTGTCAAGCAATCAGGCATCAATCAATCAATCATGCAAAACAGAGGACATGCTGCAATGCTATCTCCCACCCGCCCGTGACCTGCCCACCTGCAGGCCAGCAAGTCTTCATCCAGCGCCAGGCACACGGCAGGGATGAACTTGGGCAGGGACAGGCATGTTTCCATGCCCACCGCACCACTACAGCAGGCGGGAAGCAGCATGGCGCATAGGAAAGCAGCCACGTGGCTGGGGTGTCAGCTATGCAAAGCAGGCAGGCGATGACCTTCCGCCCGTCCACCTCCCCACCTGACCAGTGAGTGCAGCGCCTGCAGGGCAGCCAGTGCAGCAGGCTCTGCCTGCTTTTCTCCCTGCTCCAACGCCTCGACATGCAGCAGGAGCGCCTCCAACAGCAGCTCGCCACCGTGCAGCCGGCAGAAGAGGCGGCACCATGCAGCGCTGGCAAAGTCTAGACACTCTTTGGCATCCGCTAGCGACTCTGCACCCGGCCAGCGCTGGACCTGCAGGAGAGGCATGCAAGCAACATTGTGGGTCGGGTTTTGTAGGGCACATGCAGTGGGCCTGCCACAAGGGATGTGCAGCTTCTCAAGCCACATGCCCTTCCTGCCGTGCAGCTGATGCATGGCTGCACAATAGCCCGGGCATGCTGCTCCTTGCTCCTGCCTTGCCTTGGCAATCATGCCCTCGGGGCTGCAGGGCACAGGGCACAGAACGGGTGTTTGGACCAAGGGCTGCCGGCAGGCAGGCAAAGGTTCCAGAAGCTGGTCCCAGCTGCTGCACGCACCTCATGTACAGCACGTCACATGCCAGCCAGCCATTCCACTCGGGCAGCACCCTGTTGAGCTCCATCACAAGCATGCACTGCGCCGCCACCGCGGCCGCGGTCCGGGCACCTGCGCCCACTGCAATCGCTTGCCAGCCCTGCACAGGCGATAACAATGATGCGTTTGTGGCTGCCACAGCTGCTGGCTGCCACAATTGCCAGTCCAGAGGAATTGTCCCCCACCGGTGCCGACCCCGCCTGGGCCTGGCTACCCACCGCCAGCACCGCCAGATGCTCATCGCTAAGCTCTGCATGGTGCCGGTCCATGAAGAGCATGGCTCGCTGATAGTGCTCCGCAATCGACTCGAGGGCCAGCCCTGCACCCCCGCCTGCCATGAGGGCCTGCATGGTCTGTCGCCCGCTGCGGCCCTGCAGAGATGGTAGGCTGGCGCTGTAGGCATCGACTGCGGCAGTGCCAGCTGCTGCCATCCCTGCTGCGTTCCCTGCCCCAGGCCGCGTTGCGTCTGCCACCGTCTCTGAGCTGGAGGCGGCTGTCCGGGAACGGCCTCTCGGGTGCCGCCCGCCGTGTGGGGTGGCCGAGCCGGGCGTGCCGGCCCCGCTGGCGGGTGAGGGTAGAGGGGTGTCTGCACCCGCTGAGCTGCTGCTGCCACGGCGGGCATGCACGACCGAGGGGCCAGAGTCGGTCAGCATGCTCCTGGTCGGCGATGGCCGCAGCTGGGAGCCCCCTGCTGCTGGCGAGGGTGTGGCTGCGGCTGCAGCCCGGTGGATAGCCGCTGCGATGCAGTCGACCCAGTGTTGGCGCTGTCCCGATGAGGAGGCCCGCAGGTGGTATACGCAGCCGCTGGCCTCCACAATGAAGGCAGTGGGCTGGCTGGGTGGGGCGGCGGACACAGTGCCACCAGCCAGCAGCAGCACACCTGCAGGCGGGCCCCCTCCGCGCCGAGGCTCGCGGAAATACATCAACGAAGGGTCTGTGCCTGCCTGGAGCACAAAGTACCGTATGCGCCAGCTCGCCACATAATCTCCTGCACTAGGTAGCTAGCTTTTGAAGATGAGATTCTTTACACTTTTTTGAAACAAGGAGCGGCCGGGTGTGATCCAGCCGCCGGGCAGCGCGGCGGCGGCGGCGGCGGCAGCCTCGGCCGGCCCGCACCTTTCTTCTGCAGCACACCCTCCATCGTTGTACTGATTCACCTAAACCGGCTAATCACCTAAACAACCAGGGAGCTAGAAGGGCCGCTGAGTTCCGGCGCTGCCATCGTGCAGCATTGCACGTTCAGTTGCTCACGTGTAGTTAAAATGTGACACACCGCAGAAGGAACGCTGCCGAGGAGGCATATGTACTGCTCGTCCGCTGTACTGCGCCGCTCATGCCGCGCCAGTGCTGTGGCCAACGCACCCTGCATTGAATGTCGGCAGTGCTGGCCAGAATTGTGCTGGTTGCAGAGTTCCCCTCTGTACATTCAAGCTGATACCTTTGCAGCCTGAATTGGCGATGGGTCCATGTTCCTGTCGGATGATGGATGGTAGATTACAAGTTGTTGTAAACACACAGTTTGCAGGTGTGCTGCCTGTGCTTCTCCTAAACAGTATGGAAGGCACAAAATGGTGAATTGCAGAAAGGCAGGCCAAGCGAAGTGAGCACTGTACATGGGTGGGGGATGGGGGTGGGGGGGCGCCATGGGGCGCTGCAGTGTGCTTGGGGGGCAATCAATCAGAAATGCTAGGAAATTCAACAGGGCAGGGCTGCAACATGTGTTCGTCGGGCCGAGTGCTTGGCATGCAGTTGGGGAAGGGAACAGGGAAGCGAGGCTCCACGACCAATATTTGGGACACTAAAGAGATTGAGCCGGTTCAGCTGACTGGCTGGCAAAAGTGTGTGTGGGAAAGGGGTGAGGGGTTGGGGGGCGCGCGCAGCAATGAAAGAGGCAAGGGTTGCAATTTTAAGACCGTTCATTGCTGTGCAAAGTGAACATCGGAAAAGGTGGGTAGTTGTCATGCGGGTGCAGGCGGCAGCCCCAGGACATGCCCTGGAGCTGAAATACAGTGCACATACAGCCAGCGCGGCTGCAATGGGCCAGCCAGCATGGGCGTTTGGGCGGTAGCGGTTCAGGCACAGCGCTCCCCAAAATAGCAAGGTCAAAAAAAGCCGGAGGGGTAAATGGGTTTTGGCACAAAACACGCCAGCGGGCGCTCGCAGACACGTCAGTATCTGTTGGTTTTAGTGTACAGGCAGTGAACAAACAACACCAGAATGGGCTGAGGCAAGGCCGCCGCAATGTCGGCACGGGCCCGAAAAAGGCGCACAGGCCTGCTGGCTGCCTGCGGCAGCAAGCAGGCCCCCTAAGGGACACGCACAGCCCGACGATGTGGCAGCACCAGGCATCCAAGCATCCAGGCAGGCCCCGCTATGGAGGCCTGCCTACAGATCAGAGGGTTGCCTGGACCGGAAGCGGCAGCACATCACCATACTGCAGATATTGTCACCACCACAGGCTTGCGGGGTTTCAGACGCAGAGTGCTGCTGGCAAACAGTGCGCCCGCCAGGGTGGTCAACTCGACAGAGTCCATCTCCTGAGGACAGGAAGGGGGCGTCACAAAGACGAAGCATTGGTGAGGACGAACCAGCCAACAACATTGGTGCTGCATCACAGCAAACCTGGCCATGCTCCATGCCAGCAGGGGGCCACGAAATGTTCCACTGATCTGCTGTTCCACTCTTCCGCACAAGGCGCCCGCTCACCTTGAGCTGCGTCTGACTGGTGATGTAGTTCAGCTTGAGCTTGGAGGCAACGGCGGCAGTGCGGCTGCTCTCTGCTCGTTGCGTGGTGGTGCGCTGGCTCGCGGCAGAGTCGTCGGTCAGGCACACACCACAAGAGAGGCCTGAGTCATCCAGGTCGCTGCTCCAGGCATCCGAGTCCACACTGCAGGGACCGAAAACGAGTGGGTGGTCAGCCAGGGCTGGGGCAGCTCTTCCCAGACGGGGATGCAGGGGAAATACGTAGCAGCTGCATCCCCCTTTGGCTCATGCCCCTGAGCCTCGCGTGCTGTACAGACCTCCTGGCCACTCACCGCCTCTGCACTGCACGCTTGGGCTTGATCACACGCCCGGCCGCTGGTGCCATCGCACGGCGCTGGGCTGGCTCCTTGGCACTGCCCTCTTTGGCAGCCGCGGCCCTGTCCTGCCGCGTGGCAAGCGGCACATAGTTGTCCAGGTTACGCTTGACTAGATATCGGCTGCCGCAGGCATTGCACAGGATGGGCTTGTTGGCGGGGCCACGGCGCCAGCAGCAACTGCACGAGGAGCGGGCACGCACAAGGAGGAAGAAGGCTTGGATTGGCAACAAGAGCAGGGCTGGAAATCATCCCAAAGGAGGCCGGCGCGCGTTGCAAGGGGGGGGGGGTCCACAAGTCGCCGCAGGCCATGGGCGGCCATGATACTCCAGCAGGCGAGAAAATGGCGTGACAGTGATCAGTTTCAGGCGCCCCAGCAGCTCCAGCGCCGTGGGAGAGGAGAAACACTCCAGCAGCAGCCCGACATGGGGCATGCGAGTGTTTCAGCCCCCAGGGAACTCCTCCGCCCGAACCACGCTCTCGATAGCCTCCAGTGGTGCGGACGGCACCACTGGGACCCAAAAAGTGCGCGATTGGAGCCCAAACGGTGGGATGTTGCCCTCCCCTTTCATCAAGAGATTCACCAACGCGCGCCAAGAACTGGCGCGCTCAAGCACATGGCGTGCCGCGGGCAGCAGGCACGCACACAGCGGAGCCCCTTGCGGGGAGGCCACAGGGCTGGTGATGAGACGTTACGGCCAACCCACGCCCACAGGCAGCCTGCGGCCTGCGCCTCGGCGATCAAACCGCCCCGCAGGACTCATGGCGGTCGCAGGGGGGAGGGCGACCCACCCCCACCTGTGCGTGCGCCCGCAGTGGCAGCAAGGCCCTCCGGCTCCGCTCGACGGCATAGGGTCCTATGGCTGGTCTGCGCGGTCACAGAGCGGACGCAAGGAGCATGTGAGCCTGAATGTAAGAACTAGAGACTGAGTGGATCGAGCTACGCCAGGGTAAGAGCGCGCGCCACATAGGCATCATGGCCATGTCCATCCCTCGAAACCACGTCCTCCCCGGGACATTTAGAAATCAGGGAAGTCGGCAAGACGGCCGCTGGGCCCCCGAAAGGAAGAGGGCTGCCACGGTGGGGCCACCGGCGCCCGACCGCAAGGCCCGCCAGCCCGCCAGGCCCCTCGGTGGCAGGGAGGCCTCTGGCACCACAGACGGAGCTGCTCGAACCTGAATTTCCTGCTGAAGACAGTTGGGTAGCTGACAGGGGAGCGAAAAATGCATGAGGATTTGAAGCAACGGAGGTCGCTGCTGCACCTTCACGCTGCTTTGGGCTCCGAAAGCCGCAACTTGACATTTGCTGCCAGGCGGCGCTGCTTCTGCGCCATAGCCACCTTACTGCTTCCGCCTGCGGCTGGTGCTGATGCCGCCCCCGCCGCTGCTGCTGCCGCAGGCCGTTTCTTCTGTGGTCCTGCTGCCGCCAGGGCAGCCCCCGAGAAGATGGACTCTTTGCCAATCTGCCGCCGGCTGTGTCGCCAGGCACCATCAAAGTTGCCGCCATAGGTCTGCGCCGCTGCCCGCAGCTCATCGCCCTTGTTTCCCGGTAGCAGCTTGATGTGGTCGGGCAGGCCCAGCTGCTGCCGCCGCTCATCCCGCGACTTCTCCTCCTTGCGAGTTGCCCGCATCCGCCGCCGCAGCTGCTTGTTCATCGCGTAGTCGTCCCTGCAGCGAAGAGGCGGCAACACCCGGCGAGGAGGGAGTGACTCGCAAAGCAGCCACATCTGGGGCATGGCAGCCCTGGGGGCAGAAGGACCTGCATCCACTGACGCATCTTTAGGCCCACCAATGAGCAGACCTCAGCCGCCTCACTTGCGCTTGGCGCTGCTGTCCTCCTGCAGCGCCTGGATCTGCGTGTATGTGGCCGCTGCCCGCTGCTTGTCGCCATCTACGTGCTCTAACTTGGCAAAGGGGTCGGCCAACGCGTCTCGTGCAGCAGGGTCCAGCTCCACCGTGCCCGCTGCCTCCGCATCAAATGACTCCACCTTTCTGCAGGTGTGGGTGGGAGCAGGGTCAGGCAGGGCTCAGCAATGTCCTCGGCTTAGACACGCCCTGCAGTGTCCTCGACACGGCCGAATACTCGAGCATTGTGACAAAAGCAGGATGGCACAGGCGGCCAGCCCATCCCCAGCCTTCCCCAGCAGGTGCTGTGGCAGCCAGTGCGGGCGCGACCTCCTGTCTTTACCTGCGCGCTCCCGACACGATCACGTACTCGGCGTTCTTGGGGTCGGTGTGGATCTCAATCAGGTGCTGGCAGCAGGGAGTGCGCATCTTGAAGCTCCAGATGCGGGTGGAGTGGTACTGACCCACCTGCTTCTTCTCCGCATTGAACCGCACACCCTGCAGGCAGGCAGCCAGGCAGACGAGCACACAGGCACGGCGATGTAGGGGGCGGGTGCATGGGGGAGGGGGAAGGCTGGCGACTGCGCGGGCCACTGCGCGGGCGCCAAGGCTTCGCGGAGTGCGGGGAGCGGAAAACCGGCCAGAAGGAGCCTGCGCGCATGCCTACCTTGCCAATGAGGTGGTTGCAGCCGCCGCACCAGACGTTGAAAGGCATCTCAAACCTGATGATGAGGATGCCCTCCGAGTGCAACTTGCGGGCGCGGTCGCCCAGTGCACCGTGCGAGCCATGGTACTGCAGGGCCAAGGGGAGAGCGTCGGGGAGGGGGTGTTGAAAGAGCCATGGAGCAGCAGAGCAACGCTGCCTGCCGCAGGGAGGAGTCGAAGGCCCGGCGAAGCGGGGTGGCACTTGCTCCCTCACCTTGTTGAGGCTGCCCTTGCTTGGGTCCCAGCCCGGCGGGAAGTAGAAATTGTCTGCCTGCAGAAGAGGAGCGGCGGCAGAGCAGGTTGCTACGGCGCGGCCTGGCAGGTCAGCATAGGGGCGCGTCTGGAGCGGCGGCATCTGTGGCGGCGGCACCCACCCTAGCAGCTGCGAGGGTGGACATGGCTTGCGGCGCTCCTCAGACCCTCGTATGCGTGGCTCACTGGGCGGTAGCCCGCGACAGGGGCGGCCCCGTGGCCGCGGGAGTGAGAGGGAGCAGCAAGTCCCCGAAGCCTTGAGCCAGTGGAGGACTGTAACGGCGGTGGTTCACAGCAGGTGTTCAGTGAGAGACCGTCGGCTTCTTCCCGGTCTCAATAATTTGAGAGAACGGGAAGAAGCCAAGCGCCAGGTGGCTCCACCACACGCCCGTTGGGCCACCATTGGTTGCCAATAAGCTAACCAGCAGACCATCCCAGCCTCCAAATATATGGCTATTTGCTCGTTCCGTGATAGCCCCTCGTCCGTTTGACCGCTCGCCCATGACGGCTTCGCTCGAAGCAGCCACTCTGAGGACAGCCAAAGATGGACCGTCTTTCCCAGCCACCAAGCTGTGGGCTGACTCGCCGGTGCTGGTGGTCGTGCTACGGCGTCCAGGATGCTGTAGGATGCTGCGGCGGCGCCATGCCACATCCCCGCCCGCCATACCTCACGCCAAGAACCCAACCTGGGCCTGCTTCAGCTTGCCACCGCAATGACGGCTCTGTAGCTCATGCCTGCAGTGCTGTGCCGTGAGGAGGCGATAACCCTCTGGAGCGAGCGTGCCAAGTTTGAGCAGTGCGGCCTAAAGCTGGTGAGCTGCAATCGCACGCACCCCTCCCTGCCCGTATTTATTGCCACCACTAGATTTGCTTGAATGAACAGATTGAGATGAATCGACAGTCACCAGGTTCGGATGGCTGGCCGCTCCGCCAATCCCACAAGCAGGTCTGCGTCGTGCATGAGTGGCTCGACCGGGAAATCAAGGCTTTTGCTCCAGCATATTGGGGGTGAGCTGCTGCAAACGTGCAAGTGCGGCAAAACCACATGGCATGGCTCTGAATCCCCATGCGATGGCTCTAGTGCCCAGCATGGACTGCATCGCCTGCAGCGGCGACCTGTACTACGATGAGAGCAAGGCATTCTACAAGGCGGTGCATGGCGGCAGCGTCAAGAAGGGCAGCCTGCTCGCCCTTCTGAATCCGTTTGGCGACGCCTGGGGCAACATGAAAAGAGCCAAGAAGGCTGGCATTGTCAAAGACAGCAACATTAATGGCGATGGCCTGACGCTGGGAGGTGCGGCACGTGCTAGTGAACGCTCGGCATCATTGGCCTGTTGTGGTTGCCCAGCCATTGACCGCCTGTCTCATGCCTTGCAGGAGTGCTCGTGCTGAAGCAGGGGGGCGAAATTGTGTATAGCCATGCTGAGAAGACCTTTGGCGACCACCCGCCGATAGAGGAGGTGTTTGCCGCCGCCCACAAGGCTGGCGGCAGCAGCTGATCCTGGCATGGGACATCTTGGCAGCGCATCTCATGTTGAAATCCAGATCAATCCTTCAGATTCTTCAATAAAGCTATTGATCATTCGTTCTCTATTTGAGCAGGGCGGGTGGCGGCAGCCGCCCCTCAAGTTTTGAGGCCCCCTCGACTTTGTGCGGGCTCAGCACGTCACCAACGTCAACTGGTGCTATCATGCCAGCAGTACCCCCCCAGTCTAGGGTTAGAGTGAGTCAATCCCTGTAAAATTGGGATTGGGAACAGAGTGAATCACTCAAGGAGCCAAGGGGTACCTCCTCGGCGCCCCCGGCTGAGGTGGCAGGCCATTTTCTGTTGTACCTCTCTCAACGCAAGGGGCGGTAACGTTTGGCTCCTTCCACTGCGCCTTACCTTTCAATCGAGTCTGCTGGCAGCTACAACTCTCGGCCGCACTCAATAGCATTGCAGGCACCCAGCTGCGCGGGGTACCCTAGGCTAAATTGCGCTCTACTCGCTTCCAGGGATGGTGCACCTTGCCCGGGTGTGCGGCAAGGGTGCCGCTTGGCCCCAAGCAGCCGTGCCAGAGACCCACATGCGTCCGGCCAGGCGCCAGCCGACTGCTGCAAAACACAGGTGGGGGTGGCTGCGAGCGATCAGGGAGGGAGAGGGCCAGCGTTGAGCAGCAGTGATGACGTGCTGTCGCTGCCGCCGCTGCCACTGGGCGCTCCTGTTTATCGTTGCAGGTTGGCAGCACAGCAAAGCGCTCCAGTGTCTGCCTCCACCAACGGTGAGCCACAGCATTCGTTGAGGGGAAAGGTTAAAAGTGCTCGCTTTCATGTAGGTCGCCTTTGCCCTCGTGCCCTTTGCAGGCAGCAGTAGCGCCGCCACCGCCACACCAAGCTCAGAGGTAGCGGCGGCAGCACGGCCGCAGGGGCCCAGCCCTTCATTTCAAAACATGCGGGTATGCTGGCCTGCTCAGAATTGCTGCCGACATCGAGCTGGCAATGCCTTCGAGCAATTCTGTTCGGCTCAGCCTGTGCTCCAGACTGGGACTTTGTCACACCCACTTACGTGCACACGCCACTCGGCTGGTCGGCCTGCAGGTGTATGGCCTCCAGGAGGAGAACTGGGACCAGTCTGCATTGAGCATCGTGGTGGTGGGCGCATCTGGCGACTTGGCCAAGAAGAAAATCTTCCCCGCCCTTTTTGCGCTGTACTATGAAAAAATGCTGCCCAAGGTATGCTCGTCGGCATGGCGCACCTGCCACAGCCCTCCTGCCTGGCTGCTAGATGCCATGCCCTGTCCTCCACCGCCTTGCTGCCGCTCCGCCCATGGCACAGAACTTCAAGATCTACGGGTATGCGCGCAGCAAGATGGGCGACGAGGAGTTTCGGGACCTCATTGCCAGCAGCCTGACCTGCAGGCTCACTGATGCGTGAGTTGGCTGCTGGCAGTGCTCCATCCGCTGCCTTCCCCTGTGCACGTAGTGCAGAGGCCTCGGGCCCCTGCTGGGCTACCCTGCTGGGCTACTCTGCTGGCAGATGGCCTGCTCACCCCGGTGCCGCACTCGCATGTCTGCCTCATCCTGCTCCGCCCCTGCAGGAGTGACTGCGGCAAGAAGATGGACGAGTTCTTGGACCGCTGCTTCTATCAGGCGGTGAGCGCTCGCCTGAGGCGAATGCGCAGCTGCGCTGCTGGCCAGTAGGACCGTTAGCGGTGCATGAACCATCTGCCGCACACCTGGCCGTGCAACCTGCTCGCCCCGCTCTTGCACGTGCAGGGTCAATATGCCTCTGATGCCGACTTTGCAGCGTTGGCTTCTCGCATGGCGGAGGGCGAGGCGCCGCTAGAGTGCGCCGATCGCCTCTTCTACCTATCCATTCCCCCAAACATCTTCACCGCTGTGGCCGCCTCCGCCTCCAAGGCCGCCTCCAGCAAGTGAGCACCCCCGGCGGCACAGGGAAGGGTGGCTGGATCTCCTGGGGTCTCCTGTGCAGCACTCGACAACTGCTTGAAGGCAGGCTGGGGAAGGGGTAGCCGTTTGCAGGCTGCCGCCGGTCGACAGGCACCACCACCCGCCCCGCCTGTGCCCCCGCCTTTCCCTCGCGAGCAGGTGCGGTTGGACGCGCATGATTGTTGAGAAGCCGTTCGGTCGTGACTCGGAGTCGTTCTGTGCGCTGTCTGACGAGCTGTACCGGCACCTGCGTGAGGACCAGATCTATCGCATTGACCACTACCTGGGCAAGGAGTTGATTGAGAACCTAACGGTGCTGCGCTTCGCCAACTTGGTGTTTGAGCCACTGTGGAGCCGGCAGTACATTCGCAACGTCCAGGTGCGTGTTGGTTGGGCACGGTGGGTGGGAGACGTGAGAGGGAGCGGGCTGGCAGAGCTCTTTGGTGCCTTTGGTGGGCCATGTTCCTGCCAGACCATACCTGCCAGATGCTGTGCTGATCTCTGCCCCGCCGTCTCCTCGCATTCATTGTGCCTGTTCACGCTGAACTCAGGTCATCTTCAGCGAGAACTTTGGGACGGAGGGGCGGGGCGGCTACTTTGATCAGTATGGCATTGTGCGCGACGTCATCCAGAACCACCTGCTGCAGATCCTGGCCCTCTTCGCCATGGAGCAGCCAGTGAGTAACTTGCAGTGAGGCACAGGGGAGCAGGGCATGCTGTCTACACTTTGGCATGGCCTGCCCCTCCTGCAAACTGCCGTGCTATTCACAATTCCGACGTGTTGATTCAAGCTACCCTGTGCCCCCCATCCTCTGCGTGCAGGCCAGCCTGGACGCTGAGGACATCCGCAACGAGAAGGTCAAGGTGCTGAAGAGCATGGCGCAGGTGCGGCTGGAGGACGTGGTGGTGGGGCAATACCGCTCACGCACCACGCGAGGCAGCACGCTGCCAGGCTACCTGGACGACGACACCGTGCCGCCAAATAGGTGGGTTATTGATGTGTGTGTGTGGACAAGAGGGTGCAGGGCGTCAGGGGCACTGTGCTGCGCTGTTGCTGTGTTTGGAGCAGTTGGGCTGGCGTTGGCATCCCTCCTCTCCACTGACTCCATGCTCAGTGTGCCCCCCTTCCTTTCTCTCCCACCTCCCCCGCTGCAGCATCACCCCCACGTTTGCCGCATGCGCCGTGTTTGTGAACAATGCGCGCTGGGATGGCGTGCCTTTCCTGCTCAAAGCTGGCAAGGCGCTGCACAGCCGCGTTGCGGAGATTCGGGTGCAGTTCCGTCACGTTCCCGGCAACCTGTACCGCAATAAGTTGGGCCTCGACCTAGACAAGGCCACCAACGAGCTGGTGAGGCGAGAGGGCTCGGGCTGGGTTCTGGCAGGTGACGGGCGGGTGTGTGCTGCAGGGTTGTTTGTGTGTGTGTGGTGTGGCAGGTGGTTTGGGGAGTGTGGAAACTTGAAAAGGGGCCGAAATGAAAGGGTGCGGGGCAACTCTAGCTCCATGCGGTGCAGCCCTGCCACGGTGCGCGCCACAGGCGCAGCCGCTCTGCGGCGCTGTCCTGTTTCTCCTCCTGCTGCGCTGCATAATCCTCCATCGGTTTGGCGATTTTCCGGCCTGCAGGTCATCCGCATCCAGCCCAACGAGGGCATCTACCTTAAAGTGAACAACAAGGTGCCGGGGCTGGGCCTGCGCATCGACACCACTCGCCTCGACCTCACCTACAAGTCCAAGTATGAGGCCACCCTGCCAGGTGAGTCCCAGGTGGCGGCAGCATGTGCATAGCAGCGGGGCTGTGCAGCATGTTGAGTGTTGCTGTTGCAAGCTTGCAGTCATCAACCCGCCGCTCCGATGTGATGCTGCAACTCGTGTCCTTTCTCGCCTGCGCGGTTCCCTCCCGCCTTGCCGCTGCAGACGCCTATGAACGCCTAATTCTGGATTGCATCAACGGTGACCGCCGCCTCTTCATCCGCAACGATGAGCTGGAGGTGGCCTGGGAGAAGTTTACTCCTGTGCTAAAGGAGCTTGAGGAGCGCGGTGTGCAGCCGGAGCTGTACCCCTATGGCAGCCGCGGCCCTGTGGGGGCACACTACCTGGCGGCCAAGCATGGCGTCCGCTGGGGCGACTTGGCGGCTGACGACGAGTAGGTGTGCATGCAGGCAGCAGACGGTGCACAAGCACGCAGTGCAGCCAGCGCTCATGTGGATGGTCTCAAAATGCAGCCAGTGCGACGAGCTGCGTCGCCACCAACGCAACCACTTTCAACCTGGGCGCACTCCTAGCGGGGGGACTTAACAACCTCATGGCAGCCTCCTGTGGCCGAAGGCCTGTTGCTCATTGTCACGTGCCTTCCAAGTACCTTAGTCAATTTGCTGTATGCCGGTCTGCACCTGTGTGTGCATCTGCAGCGGACTGGCAGCAGCCCCGCCGCCTGTGATCGTCGCTCCCTCTATCTCCCTTGCTTCCCTCTCTGCGCCTGTCCCTGTGCTCAGCGAACTGCAACTCAGGCGGCCGCCTGATGGCAGCACCCCCCCCGTCAGCACTGCCTTTTGCTCGCTGCCCTGTGCCCATGAAGATTTCCTGGGTAAATGTTGTAATGGTCGCATGTCGGTGTTACATAGGTAGCAACAGTTCTGACGCCAAGCGCCATGGCCCATTGTGGCAGCCTAGGACACAGGACAGCTCTCTTCAAAATCTGTCTGTTCCTTGCGGCACTTGGTGAACCGGTTGCTGCAGGCAGACGGGCGGGTAAAACGGCGACACAAAGTGAAGGCCAGATGAGCACGCATCAGGATTGGCCGGAACCGTGCCAGATAGACTACCAGTTGACGCCAGCAGGCCCCACCCACCTATAGTAGTCCATGCACTCGTAGTATGCTGCACCCGGGCACGCGAGACAGGCATGGCAAATGAGCTTCTGGTGCTGCAAGGAGCGCCCATCAAACAAACCCCAGCTTCTGCGTCCCCAGCCCAGCTATGGTGCGGCCAGGTTTGCCTAATTCAACCACACCTTTGAGTTGCTCGGGGCACTTGGCATTCACCTCCTTCAGCCTGCAGCAATGCACACAGCAAGCGCGGTACTGTGATCCATGCTAAACAATGATGCAGTACAGCGTTGCTGGCCAGGGCTGGGAGTTTGGCTGGTGGTGAGAGCAGGTGCTCAGGGCAGGACATCCCACAAGTGCAAGCGGCGGGGCACAGCTGGTGTATGCACTGGGTCCCAGGGCTCACAGGTCGATGACACAGCTGGTGACCGCGTCGCCCTGCTCCAGGCAAGTCTGTGGGTTGGCATCCTTATCCTTGCAGGCCATGTACACGCGGCTGACCTTGGCGCACCGCACCGCAATGTGCTTGGACAGCGACATGAGCACCGCCGAGGTGGGCGGCGGCGCCTGCCCCTCTGCCATGCTGGCTGCTGGTGCTGGCTGCTGCCCGGCCGCCTGCCGCGTCGCCCGTGATCACGTGTGCGCTTGGGGGCGGCCTGGAGGTCTGGGCCAATCGAGGCGGGGTGGTGACAGGGCGGTGGGGCCTGACGCCGCTGGCGAGGGACTGAAGCGCTACCTGAGCACCTGGAGCGGGTAGGACAGCGATGCCGACAGAGGGAGCCTAAACATTTCACTGCCACGTCGAGGAGCCTGGGTCAGGAAATTTCGCATTAGGGGCCCGGCAAGGACGCCCTGGCCCTCTCCAACAGCGCTTGGCCGAGTCGGACTGGCAGGCCAAGATGGCTGAGGTGAGCGTGCCGCGCTGCAGGGGCCATGCGGGCGATGTCATGTGCGCCGCGCCCCCTGTAGCCCACTGAAAGCGTGTGTTGTTGCCTTGTCCCGCCCTCGTCGCCCCATGCAGTCGGTTCAGTGCTTTGGGCGCAAGGCGAGTCGCGGGATGCAGCGGTGGAGGCTGCAGGGGGCTGGCGGGGGAGCCGGAGCCGGGCGCGCCCCGTCCCAGAATGCAGCACGAGTGGCAGCACGCAGCGCGAGCGGGGAGCCGCCGCCCGCTGCCGACCTGCCTGGGTGTGTGCCGCTGCCCCTGCCGCCTGCAGAAGAATGCGGTGGCTGTGGCCTATGTGAAGCGCGGCAAGGGCGAGATCCGTCTTAATGGTGCGCAGCGGGGTGACTGGGGTCGCTGGGACGGGTGGAGTGTGGCGGCTAGGAAGGGGGGGCCGGCAGCTGCAGGAGCGGGAGCGTAGGCATGGGCGACAGCGACATGGAGAGGCACGTGTCTGCAGTTTGCAGCTGCGGAGCCGTCACCGGTCGGTCGTTGCCCCCCGCCCACCCCCATCTCTCTGCAGGCTCCCCGCTGGACCTGGTGCAGAATGACACGCTGCGCTGGAAGGTGTTTGAGCCGGTGCTGCTGCTGGGCAAGCAGCGGTTCAGCAATGTGGACATCCGCATCCGCGTCAAGGGTGGCGGCCAGGTATCCCAGATCTACGCCATCCGCCAGGCCATCTCCAAGGGCATCGTGGCCTTCTACCAGAAGTGTGAGTGGGGCAGGGGTGGGTTCCAGGGGGGCCAGAAGGGTGGAGGGAAACAGGCCCGACTCCCCGCCACCCCGGGAACCTGCTGCAGATGTGGACGAGCAGAGCAAGAACGAGATCAAGGACATCCTGCTGACGTACGATCGCACGCTGCTGGTGGCCGACCCGCGCCGCTGCGAGCCCAAGAAGGTGGGTGGTGGGGTTGGGAGGGGATTGGTGGGGTGGAGGGGGGAGAGGGTGTGGAGGGATTTGTGGCTGGGGGGTGCTCCCCCAGCCAGCCCACTGCTGGGCTGCGTGACCGCCACCCGGCCCTGACTGCGCCTTGGCCCGCCCCTCTCCCTGTTGTGCAGTTTGGCGGCCCCGGAGCTCGCGCACGCTACCAGAAATCATACAGATGATCACTTCTAAGGAGGCCCAGCAGCCCAAGACTGGTGGCCCGGAGCCAGCGCGGCATCCGGCGCCGTGTGCGCCTGCCTGGCTGCCCGCCTGCGTGGAGTCGCCCGCAGCTGGCGCCCTGCTGCTGCATGCCTCCGCATCTGTAGCCTGCTGTTGGCTGTAACCAACCACTAGCATTGAATGAGAGTTGTGTGTCTGCGAGCACTTTGGCTGGTCGAGGTGCAAAACCGAGGGGCGGGGAGACCAGCGGCGGCTTGCGCGGCGGCGGCACAAGTGGCGGCAGCCAAGCTGCATGCCTCGCTTTTATGCGCCGTGTTCTTTGCTGTCACGCTTTGCAGACGTTCAGCAAAGGGCTCCTCGTGGCTGGTGCCGAAGCCTGAGGTGAAGACTGCCGGCCTCCCGCGTCCCCGCCCGCACTCTGCCCCACACGGCGGGCCTGTATGGCCGGGGCCGGCGCCTCGTTGCTGAAGAGCGGCCGCCCGCCGCCCGCTCGCGTGGCCCCGCTCCCAACGCCTCCCCGCACAACCCACCTATGCGGCCGCCCGCCAGCACCCACCCGCCCCCTCCCACCCCACCCAACCAGTCACCCACACCCGACCACCCAGTTGGCCACCCCAGGGGCCACCCGGGAGCCACCCTCAGCCACCCAGCCACCCCCACCCTACCCACCCCTCACCCAACCCGCCCCAGGTCAAAGGTCTGCCCCGACTCGCGCTACCAAAGGAAAGTGGTGGGGTTCCGGGGTGGGGTGGGGGTTCCGGGTGGGTGCTCCCGGGGTGGTGGGCGGGTGCCTGGGGGTGGTGCGCGGTGTGGGAAGCGGCCTTGCCGGCAGCGGCGGGCCG